TATTAAACGCAATAACACTCAATAGGTGACACAATTCACTTTCGGAAAGAAAGTCATCAATGAGACTCCTGAACCGGGTTATAGGTTCACTGCAACGGAGGTTCACTGGTAATCTGTTCCACATCGTTGGGTATTAAATAACGACAAAACTCTGGCGAAATTTTGTGTACGTTCAATAATATTTCACTTATTGCGTAGGTACGAAGGCGTGGATGACCACTGTTTATATTCACAGGCTTAGTGTAGCATAATACAAAACGGACGATTTGGCTACGCTCTTCTAAATTAGATTTAAGTCAAGACCAAAAGGGATTCCGTATAAAAAATGAAGTAAGTTTTAGAATTTTGTGTGAGACACTATCGAAGGCCTACTAAAATCCGAGTACAGAATTATCACTGACTGACTAGCATCCTTTCTCTGGGTAATTTGATAAAACACTCCAGGTGAGATGTGAAGCATGAACGTTTAGTCATAAACCCATGTTAGGACGAGCCAGTCACGCTAGCCAGAAGTAAAAATGATAATAGCTTTTGTGGATAATGTCAAGTTAATGGGTCTACGGTTGGTAATATCTCTACAAGATCTCGTCTTGAATCTAGGGGTGACGAGTAATGAACAGGCTCTATAGTCCATAGATAGGTCAAACAGTTTTAAATAAAATAATTTGAAATCTGCACTACCATGTTTAAGAAATGACGAAGGAATCTCGTCACGTGCACGGTTATAGGACTTTTTCAGGGCAGCTATGTTCTGCTTGATGTTAGTGTGTATGGAATCAATTTTGGATAGATGTCTAAATGTCAACATTGGAAACGCATTGACAGAGGTCTCGGTTTCAGTGTTTTAGCATTGCGAGAAATGCTCGCTGAATCGTCCACAAATAGTATCAGGATCGTCAACAATGCTTCCATTAACTATGAAGAATTTGGTTGTCATTTGAATTCGATTTCAGACAGGATTTTAAAAGCCGACGTATCGATAACTCTGGGCTTTTACTACCTAGGGCTTTATTCTCCATAGTCATAAGATACTTACGTCTAAATAAATCATTTCTGTCGATCAAGTCAGGTATACTGTGGAGTGCATACAAGTCATGACGCTTGTGTCAGAAGTGTTTTCATTTTCTCAGCTTTCTCTTAAAACGTTTAAGAGTATTCTAGCCCCTATTAGCGCTTTAATTAATTGGAACAGTGCAGTTAAGTCAATATCTCAGATTGTGATATAAGTCGGAAAGCGCAGTGTCAATATTATATGTGGTGAAATAAGGTTCCCATGGTAAGCATGGAATAATATTTTCAATGCGTGTCCAGGTGCATTTTTTCAGCTTCAGAGTTCAATTTTACAGTATTTAGAGAATGAATAATACTCAATGCACTTTTATAATCACTAATTAAAACTCATGACTAATGTGCACTGAGAGTCTATGTTACTTGCGAATACTGAATCAAGTATATTATTCGTCGTAGTCAGCTTTTAGACTTCTTGAACCTGTCCACAAAGTTCTTATTTTTAAAATAACTTGTTATATTGACCTGGTACCGAAGTCGAACCCCACGCAGTTTTTGGCATATTACAATCACCTCCGATGGTTTTAAACATATACGGTTGGTATGAAGCAACAAAAAGTACGTTTGTTAGTAGTTTATCAAAGATAGTATCCGCATGATGTGGTCTGTATATGCAACCCACCAGTAGATAATTTTGAAATCCACAATTAACGGTATAGCAAGTAGAGTCATCTATAGCATCAACACATTCATTGCTAACTTTGCACTCCCAAATGTCCGAACGGATGTAGATAATTGTATCGCTTCTTATTCGATGACGTCTATCGGTCCGATAGAAAACTTAGTTATTTACGTTCAGGAAGTGATCGGCCATGAGTGGTTTGCACCAGGTTTCCGTTATAAATACATTGTTTGGATCTACAAGGAACACAAACGTTTTGAGATAATAATTCTGTTGGACAGAGAGCAGTCACTGAACGAAAGAATAAGAAACTGAGGGGTATCCTGAAGAATCAGGTTAGAGTATAAATCACCAGTATTAGTTCCATGAATATTCGTGGAACTGGATAAGGTAAAAATTGTGTTGTGAGGCGTGCAGGTTCAACAACTTTGCCATCATTTGTGATGTAATTACCGTCGCCAGTAAAAAAGCCAAAGAAATTCCGAAAACGTTCTCCTGGTTTAAATTGATTGGAATATCTGATAGAGACATAATGTACATATTGGGAGTCGGGCCAAAAAGGCTATCAGGCCTATATGTGTGGCGAGCATCAGCGATGACACGATTCATGGAAGAAATTTAAAGCAGTAGTTAAGTGACCCTGACCAGGAGAGAGCTGGGTGGAGAATACTGGTTAGCGGACTATGCTCGTCCATGAGGGGTAGCAGGCATAAGTGACTATTCAATTCCATGCGTATTGTCAGTTAAGTTTGCATTTGTGGTCTACTTGAAATATTTTGATTATCAGGATTAAGTAGCTAAGCGGATGACGTGATGGCTTTTGAAGCGGACGGTAATGAGATCGAGTCTCAGAGTTAACATGAAGTCTGAGATGCAGGTACATACAACTGTCGAGTCTCAAATAGGTGGAAACGCGCGTCTTGGATTCCACTGCTAGCTACTATCCATCTTTGTTTATTTCCCTAACGGTTTTAAACTTTCTTTAAATCCATCCTTTGATGCTCTTTTTCGGTTCATTCATACATATATATATATATGTTAATTCTTTTTAACTCTTTTATTCTGTTTACAACGGTCAGCTTTACCTATAAATGTGAGCAGCCAAATTTTTTTTTTCAGTGTGGACGGAGGAATGTAATGTGATGAGTCTAAACGACGGTTCCACAGGATGTATATCCTTTGAAGTCCCATCGCATACAAATGATGGTCGAGGCCAAACTCCCATTGGCCTCGTATGTTTTGTTGTCTGACTATATAATTACTGATCCAGGAGGCGATGTGTCTCTTGGCTTTAGCTTGCATGAAAGCTGATGGTGGCTGCACTAGTAACACGGCCAGAGAAGAATGTGTCGGCGTAGTACGTGTTGTGACGAATGAACCAAGTGTCCGACTGTGAATCATGGAAATGGAAAACCGCCCTAAAAACGGACAATCAATGAAATACCACTGGATATTGGTAGTCACGATTCTAACGTAGTACTTAAATGCACGGATTGAACCGTCACCGTTTCAAGTAGTCTCGATGTGGCTGTCATGAATGACAGGAAACGGACGACTGGGTGGAGACAAAGAAGAGAGGGAAGAAAGCCACAAACGGCACCCATTTGGTTGAGGAGTCTTTGGTAGACTATGGTTGTGCGTAACAATAAACCACCAAATCCCCAAAGTAAGATGAAACTTAACCTTAGCGTGGCTCTAACAATCTCAATCACATCGAATATTATTGTAAATAATTTACTGGAGTCAGACGATCATGATTTAAAAACTGGACGCGTGCATGATTTCGAAAAGGTCAGAGGCCTACTCTCACATAACGAGCAACTTCTTATAAGTATGTACTGAGTATTAGCGGTCTGAAACATGTAAGAAACTGTTCCACACTTGGTGACCTGACTGCCTGATGATTTGGCCAGAGTTCAGTGACATTTCAGTGTCTCTATAAGCTAAAGAATCGTGTGTGGTTGTTTTCAGTCGGGCTATTTAATTACCCGACGACAAAATTATTCAAACAATATTTCGGAACATGTTACGTAGCAATGAACAACTCATGAAGAACATAGTTTATGGTGTTAGCAACTACGTTGATGGTTTTCAAACATCAGCAGACTACATAAACATACAGACAGCTCAGAACCATGTTAGCATATACGAACGCAACCAATCACAAGTACTTCAAGTACGGAATGCTCGCTGGCATTCAGGGCGTTCAAGGTCGTGTTAGAAAAAGCGCGGTCGAGTTTAGGAGTAGGTTACTTCTGAATGCTGAAATCAGTTGATGTGTTTATTTTAGAGTACATCCAACTATGGAGTAAGAATAACAGATGCTTGATATTAGATTTTAGTTCACCTGATATTAGTTGGGTAGAGATTTCCTACGTAGGATCTGACGAGTCCTTCGATATTCGGCTCCTGATGACTGATGGATACTTCACTACAGTATGTATTCGAACACACACATCTTGTTTGAAACCCAGGGTCTTCCTTAGACTGAATAATCACTCATGCGGCCGAGGACATTGCCTACCTAAATGTTCTCACTCTGTTTGCAATGGTGGCCATGCTGTCTCATCATTCATGTTTAGAGGTTGTAACGTAAGTATGGTCTAAATTTAAAAGTACGGTTAGTTTAGTTACGTCCACCATGGATAACCGAATGAGTCAGGAAACTCAAACATAGGAAAAAGCTGCGAAGTATGTTTATCTCTTCAGGTTCTGAACAGTACAAAACCATTTATTGTAAAACTAGGGACGCTCGCGAAGCGTCGACAAGTAAGGCTAGACATCCATATGAAAAACAGTCGGGTAAAGATTGTGAGAATAGCCTATAAAGGTTATTGTCGTACATAAATAGGCAAACTTGGAGAAGTAATGAAGACTAGCACTTTTGATACAATGAAATCCGTCAATATTGGCATGAAATGATGTTGCAAAAGCTGAAGCCTTATCAGAATATTTTAGTAATATGTTTTCTACCGACGATGGTAAAAGACCAACAATAAGTTGTGATAGTGTTAGTTTGTCGATGGATCTTGTGGTTACTGATGAAAAACTACTTCAGCATGTGGAACCAGATAAGTCATGTCTTTAGTCTTCAGTAATAAGGATAGTAGGTTGATGAACCTGTGTTAATCCTGACACATTGCTTTCCAATGAAGGTCCAGCTTTTCCTTGAAAGTATTCACTGATGGGGCTGATACCACTTGTTCGGGTAAGGCGTTCCAGTCATTGACTACTCGATGAGAAAAACGGGACCCCACTTTAAGTTTATTAGATCGTGGTTTATGAACCTACTTGCTATGACCTCGGAGATTATTAGTGCTGGAGGAAGCAAAAAGATGAGACCCGTTAGTCTGACCAGTGTTGTTGTCAAACTAATAGGAAAGATTATTCAGGTGGCCATTTTAGACTATGTGAAAGGGTACACTCTTTTATTTAGGCAACAACATCGTTTTGAGAAAGGCCTATCATGCTTAGCAGTACCGCTTATTGCAACAGAAGATTGGGCTGCAGCTAAAGATAGGAATATTCCTGTAGACGTGATTTCCATAGATCCAAGTAGAGCCTTTGACAAAGTCTCTCGTCTGGGGGCTATGTCAACGTGGCGATTTGTAAGAAATGGAGTCCTTGCTTCAAGTATGAGACAAATATTTTAGGAGGAGTTCAACGGCGAGGGAACATAATGGTAAAAGGTATCTTTAGTCTATCTTATGAAGACCGACTACGACGTCCCAGCTTATTTCCGTCATCTTGCCGCAGGTTACAGGGTGATCTACTACTGACCTATCGTATATTAAATGATGACCTCGGTTCTAACATGACTTATCTTTTCTTCCCGTTTAGGATAGATCACCTGAGAGGACATTATAAAGAAGTTCAAAAACCGCGATAAAATATTTTACATCTGCAACTCCTTTTTCACACAGAGTAGTGAATTACTGGAATTCTCTACCAGAACACGTAATATCAATATTTTCTGTTCATTCATTCAAAGCGAAATCCAACCTCCACAGCGTTACAAATTGCAAGGATTAATATAAGTCAATAGACCTGTCTTTACTACTAAAGACTGAATTTACTAAGTATGGTATGTACCTTACATTTTCGAAATGCATCTTTGTAATATTGATAGAAGCCCCTACCTACACACCCTATTGTTAGCGTTTGGAACTGTTCTAAACATTCATGTCTGAGTGGCTGTGAGTGTTGATGGTGGCTTCTGAACCACGCGTTCCTTGTCGATGATGGGAGTAAAGCAAAGAGTTAGTTAGCTTGTCACATAGCTTCCTAGTACAAGCGATACCAAGGAGGATTAGTTTCTACTGGACCATCGCGGGTTCTTAACTTAAATTTTTAGGGACCAGATAGCTCATTTGCTTCTGATATCGTCAGACAACGATCAGAACAAAAGCCAGTGGCCGGTCTCATGGCTTTTTATTGCAGTCTTCATACGAATGAGATGAACCTTCCTTGCCAGACGAAATGTATTACAGCTGTTTCTCAACTAAACCATACCTTATATTAAATTCTGTTTTTTATTTACTTGACCTTCCCTATTTTTCCAAAAATTATCGCTTCACTCTATGTGACTTGGTCTTGGAATATCCTTTTGCACCAAAGTTCTCCAAGCGTTGAATAAATACTGCTACATAATCACTTTGTATTCACAGATAATTCGTTGCTATATCTCTCCAGGACAAAAAATGTCCCCCAAGTTCGTACTTGCCGAAAAATAAACGGTTCTCAGACAATATTTGTAGCAAATAGTTCTGTTTATCCTCTGTCTCTAGGTACCAGCACTCCCAACTAAATGTCTCTTAACTTCACGGAACAGGAGTGAAGTTACGTGGGAATTATATCTTAACTAAATAAATAATTCCTAATATTCTGACCAGAGCTCACATAACCCAATTTCATCAAATAGCGCATTGGCAACTATTGACTAGGATTCAGTTTGGAAGTATCCCTTTGACTTTAAATGAACGCTACCACGAAAATTCGCACTCGAGCCAGAGACTCACACGGTTTATCCAAAGTTTAGTGAATAATACTCGTGCGAGTTTCAAGGACACTGGAATTCCTTACCCGTCTATTGTGTTAACGTTTCTGAAAGCTGTCTAATTTCCGATCCTCTTTCTTAATGTATTCCCATTATCTTTTATCTACCTAGCATTGAATCACCAAGTTACTTTTTCTTGTTATACAGATCTAAAAATGGAGTACATTGACAAACTCCCGGATGAGCTTTGCTGCAAACCTAAACCTCTCATCGTATTTTCCGGTTTGGATACGGAAAGAAATCAAGTCCATCGGTCTATTTGGAGAGCCTTCAATACTAGTAAAAGCCATGACCGAGATTCATTTAAATTTCGCTGCAGATCAGTCGACCACCAGTTTCCAAAGCCGAAGTACAAGGTTTGTTGTTCGTTTCAATTGATGCTTCTTAGAGTCTTGTTGTGCAATTCGTTATATGATTATTATGAAAGGTTTGGATTATCCTCATGTTGATATTCGTCCCAAATGGGACGAAATGTGCTTGTCTTATATAAGTTGGTTATATGCTTTCTTATTTTATTGGTGGAATAGCCATCGTCATGAAGTAATGGTTATTGGTTGTAATCGCTTTTATTTTCCTCATTTCAGCATTTTGATTGAAATAGTAAAACACTGCAATATAAAGTCAAATACATTTCGTATCGAGTTTCACATAATCTCTTATAAATGATCCCATCCATCTACTGTTGGTGAAATGAATTTCCACGGACATAGGCATTGAAATTGTTCGATCAAAACAAGTAAATATGGCTTCCATAACTAGCTAGCTTGATAAGATTCTTGTAGTTCGAGTTCATAGTTCCAGATATATGAAGTTCCAGTCAATAGTCCCCAATTTTTCATCTCACAACAGTCCTTTCATTAAGTCCCGGTCTTCGTATAACTTTCTCGTTAGTGAACAAAATGTTCAAACAACGATTTTTTTATCCAACTAGTTTTATATTTAATTCTAGGTATTGAGATTCAAAAAACTAATAAAGGTCAATTAAATAAAACCAATAAATATATGGCGGTAATTAAAAAATAAGGTAGGAAAAATAGTCTAGACTAAAAAAACTAAGTTGTCACATCGCCCTAGATTTTAAAACATATTAAACATTGTCAAGACAGATCCAAGTTTAGGACGAACATTTTTCGTATTCAAAGGGCGATTAAGTTTCCTGATACCCAAAGCTTCTATAACCTTAAAAGTGCACTCCTGATAGTATCTTTATGAACCTTCAAAGCTACTACAAGGTCCATCCCATGACCTGTTTCACTTATGTTTTGGAATCAAGGAGTATAGTAGTTTATTGAAGCATCTGAGACCAACTGATTATTACGCTGTTTTGGAGCATGTTTCATCACATTTTTGATTGAGAAATTTGATTACTCCTCCCTATTGGTGTGTGTTCTTACACGTTTGTGAATTGGTAAATACAGTCGAATATGATAATCATTGATACGGTGTTTATGCCTATGAAGAATTATGGGTTTCTTTTCAAATAGCAACCAGTTATATAACATATTTTTTGATGGATGGCTTCAAAATCATGCTGCTTTTTTCTATCTTTTAATGTAATTTCACCTAAAAGCTTTTTAAATGAAACAATCAGGAGGAGTTCTGACTTTTACTAACTTTAACACTTTAACGGATATTTGTTTAATGTTGATGTTTCAGTCACCGGTTCCGTATCCTCTTCAGTCGTATCTGTACTACAGATTTGTTAAATTCAATTAAAGATATCTAATAAAGCCTTGTTTGTACTGGAGTGAACAGAAACTGTGGAAGCCTATATATTAATCAGTTTAGGTAGCCTTTTTACAAACTGATCTTATGGTTGCTTAATCTCTGACATGAAGTTTGTCCAAAATTATGGCTCAAATCACAATCTTCAGATTAACTCTGGCTTATCACAGTATCGGTATTTTTTAGTAGGATTAATAGTTTTGAATGATATATCATGTTTTGATTCTTTTAAAAATTACATATTAGGTTATTTCTCGTTAAAATGACCGATCAGTCATCAGCTAGTTGGGTGTGTTGTTGGTAGATAGTCTTTCGGAAAGCCCATACTTCTGAGCTCCCCTTAGCTGATGTAAACAAAGACTGATGTTTATTTATCTTGAAATGAAATGTAAAAAGTTCATTTTGACTGTGGTCTCAGAAAGTATCAATGTTTCACCTTCCCTAAAATTTATAAGTTTTCCTTTAATGTTTAATAATATTTCAGCAACTGGCTTCATATGAATGGCTTATGCCAAAAGGCATACTCAAAACTGGTTGGATGAAAAAACATCTTGAAGAAATACCTGCATTCGTTGCTTTATTTTACGATCTAGATTGGGACGAACCACAGTGGGGAGAAAGGTCAACTGAATGCGCTCAAATGGTGGCAACTGTTCGGTTGGTATTTTGTTTTTACTTATTTACTCATGGTAACTGAATTTAGATCAAAACTTGCTGGTCGCGAAAGTAAATTAGTGGTCATTCTTATACAGAAACGTGCCCCCTTACCTTTGGGTGAAGATCTTAATGCCATGGATCGAGCTCAATCTCTTTGTAATAAGTGTGATCTTCCTGGAAAGAATTTGTTTGTTTTGTCGCATACAAACTTACTTTATGGATGCATTACAAGGTATGGTTTCTAGTTGATTTACAATGATTCATGCAATCTTGTGTATTTAAATGAGTATAGGTAGATTGTAAAATGGAAATATGGGACTACAAAACATCTACTGCTATTTATGACTTTCAATCGGACGGATAACATGTATTTTCTGTCACTGCTTAACATCATCTATCTAAACTCATGAGTAGATGCAAGAAACATTTAGCGTTCAAACTTTAACTACTCGGTACCAGGTTCCTTTAATTCAGTCAGCTTCCCAACAGTAATGTAATCTGTTCAACTCATTATGCGAATGTGTCTAGCTTCATCTGTTCAGAAAGTAACTGTGTTTCACTCGATATTTCTGTTCGAACAAACAAAGATTTATTACAGAATAGTTGCAGTTCGCTTTCAAATGCACTTTTGATATCAATTAATAATCCTGCTGAATGTAGCGTGGTTGAATTGGACTATCATCCGTTAGCTAATCAATAATCTCTGCATATGACCATAAAGATTTTGCATCTCATTTGCTAGTGACTTTAATAGACACAGGTCAGGATACAAGCTGGTGCCGATCTTGGTGTAATTTTATACTTTCCTACATTAGAGATCGGAATTTTTGAGGAACGAAGTTCATCTTGCTTGTGTTCTTACCTGAATTTTTTTGATAATGTCCCTATTCTTTTTGTTATAATGTGATTTTCTCTGTTCTATTTCCTCACGTTCGTCTCTGCCGTTAAGTTCTAGAAGTTGTTTTCCACCATTGATTTGGAGTTTTTTAACTTCAGTAAATGAGATCATATTCACGAGTCATAGTAAGCACGAGGAACTCGCATATATTCTTCCATCTCTATGAAAAACACTTACTTAATAAGCGAGCTTCATATCACCCACATTTGGATTTATGAGAGCATATGGAAAAATAGTCGAGACCTATTCATTGTTGACCACATTTGGGTATTCACAATCTACGGGTAATCATAGTATTAAACATTCTGAGCTACGACTTTTTACCTGTTTTAAAGTCAGAGATTCAAAAACCAAATTGAGTCGGTTATTTTAGATTTAATACATTATATATATATATATATATATATATATATAATTTCATATTGACTAATAAGTTGATTGTTTTACACAGATTAGAAGATGAATTTCGTGATATGGCAGCTAACTACTACCATAATCAAGCTAAAAAAGTGAAAGCTCACAAGGATTCACTCAACAAAACTAGTCACCAGGTAATTTTTTATAAATCAATTGGTCATTATTACTGCTGTTAAGATATGGATACCAACCACTTGCCACCTTTCGTTTCTGTATATTGTGTAATTATTTTACCAATACATTTGTTAGAAACTTGATTGGGTTGTAACTGTTGTTGTAAATGAAATAGAACTTTTTCCTCACTAATCAAGATTGTTTTGTTATTGCCAACAATCTATTTAATTAGTTATATCCAATTTCTGGTAACTAGAATTATTCTTAGTCTCTTACATTCATGTTTTTACATAATGCATTATCACAACAGTTTTGTTTAGATCATGGTTACATTAATGACATCTTCATCTTCCATCAAATTGTTGAATATGGTTACAGGTGTTAGCTAAGAACTGTTGAGCTTTTTAATAGCTTATTAGTTGTCTTCCACTAACTAGACTACGTTCTTGAATTATCTGCTAACTTGAACTATGCTTGTTAATTTTGACTGTATTCTTAAGTTATCTTTGTCAAGGCTTTCCAAAATGATAGTAAACTTCTCAAATAAACCTTTCTCTAACGGATGATTCCAGAGCACATTCCTTTCCAATGAATAGAAGAGAAGAAATGCAATAATTGTTCCACGCTTCATTGATTGGGAAATAAGTACGAAGTCATAATATTACTTAACCTTGTTATTTAATAGCTTGTTGTTTAACAGATTTTTTCAAAATTTAATCGATTACAGTTATTGTTTGTTCGTCACGAGTTCAAAATTGCTTTCTATGCTGAATTAAAACAAGATCCAGGATTAGCGCTGAAGTAAGTTCATCCAGAGGCGTATTTACTTATTTCTAATAATACGCGCTTTTTGTTTTTACCTTAAACACACATTCAACCTCCTAAGCATTTAAAACGACAATGACATTTGAAATTAGGTATCCTGAATTTTAAAAAAGTATTGTCCGAATTCCTTCTCAAGTTCGTGAGTTGTGTGTAACACGGGGTAGGTATACTTAGAGATTAGTAGTGGTGGAAATAATCCAACACTAAGGCTTTCGATTGTTGATACTAATGCTCAAAGTGTATCTGAAGTGACATAGTGTCTAAAGCACTTTACTTTCAATTGTTTATTCTCAGGATCATACAGTGCTCCCACTACAATTTTAACAGTCAAATAGGTTCTCCAACTCTCACAGTTAAATAGGGTATAGCTCAAAGACTAGTACATAAAATTGTTAGTGATTATGAAGCTAACTTAAACGGATACAGTTGTATTGAAACTTTTGGTCTTGCAGTGTGAACTCACACTATCTGATGCTTCTCAGATATGCTGTGGCAGAGCTACTCAGTCAGTAAGTTACCTCGTTACTCTGGATTTGATAGACGTATTGACAAATATATGCTTATCATACATACTGCATGCATCCTACTCTAAAAAGTTCTACATTTGTTCCATACTCTAGAAGCATCTAGTTAATTTCAGAACACAGTAACCGGTTTTTGTATTTTAGACATTATCAACAGGCATATAATCATTTAACAGAATTGAGAATGCTAGATGCTCATTTGCTGGAGGTGAAAACAGTAGCTGGATTTATTAACTACAAGGTAATTAATAACTGTTAACCATTGTATTTTTGGATAATTTTCTGAATCTAAAAGAAATTGTAATCTCTGGCATCTCATTGATACCATATAAATGTAATCGGAATCTTGAAGATTAACCTCATATGTATATTACATATGTTGTTTTATGTTTTGCCATGAAACACTCCAAATATGCTTATTATATCTCATCAGTTGTTTTGGTGATGGTCATATCTGACACTATACTAAAATCTATCATACACCTGTGTAGTCTCCTTGATCACAATTCGATATGAAGACATTTTTCTGATAGAAACTTCAATTGCTTGAGCAACTTAGATTTGCTTATACTCAGACCCACTGGGGCTTACTTAAGTTACTTTAGATAATGAGATAAGAAGTTTATCATAATTATGTGATACATTTACTTTGAATTTTAAGTAATCGGTCATTAGCAATTTAGAACCTGGCATAAAATGTATGGCTGCCCAAGTTGTGGCTCAACATTAACATAGCAAAGTGAAATAATCGTAACGAATACTAAATAGGTGGTAGTATAATTGACAGGAGTCCATAAAAACCAAGCAAACTTTCTAAATCCATCCCGATATTTTATCACATAACAACCTATCAAGATGATGAAACTTCGTAGATAAGTAAAGTGATCGACGCTATAAACCACTTTATTCCCCATCATTATTCTAAGTGTTGATGCAAACCAATCTTGAAGGAACATTTTTCATTTTTAGGGGAGGGAATACATCTCAAATATACCTACTTTGACTCACGAGAATCATTAGATGCCTCATTTGGTCAATCTTCACCAAATAGTAGTATACCACCTACGTGCTCCAAGTTAATAAATGAATCTCCTGGTAGATAGCTAATTCCTGAAAAGTCTATGATGGGAGATTAGGTAGCCACTCATGGTAACTGTTATGGCTTTAGGTTGAGGTCGATTTCTACCCTGTGCTAATTGTTGTGTCCTTGACTGGAAAATCAGAGAGCAGCGTACTTATCGATCGATTACAGTGACACGTAAACACGTACGAACGGCCTACAGTCCTGATTGGTCTTGTTTCCCTGTCCAGCCCAGCCAGTTGAGTCCAGAACACAAGCCACAGCCTCTGAGATATGAATCATTATATTTCAAACATACTTTATTTATATACTAACCAAGCATACCACATCGTACCATAAAATAGAAAACAACATTTTGTACAATATTCAACAAGTGAACAGGTATCGACCAATAGGAAATGTCCATCTAAAGTCCAAGGACACCACTGGACTTAACATGATAATTATTGGTCTATTCCTCCGCATCGACAACAGTAACGGTTCACCATAAACTCTGTCTCGACCAATAGTGTCCAAATAAAGAACCTTCACATGGTTTATGCACTTCTGTGGTACACCTTTTAGTGACTAACGTCAAAGAAATCACGAGTCTACGAAGTTGTATACTACTTTTTATTAAAGAAATACCACTATTGTCCGGTAAACTTCCATCGGAAACAATAACTTCGGGTGGTGTTTGTCAGGGTTGTTCGCTTTCTTCATTTCCATTTAACTTTGTCGTTAACAACCTTTTAGAAATAACACTCTCATCTTCTGAATTTTCAGAGATTGGTCTTCTGCCGGAAGGTTCACTTTACTTAGAATACACAGATGATGTAGTTCTGTTTAGTGAAAACGCTGACGAAATTTAGCCTTCTGACCATCTTTAGTAATAATGCATGCATGGTCAGGATGCAATTCTTTCACTCCAAATAAAGTGTTGCCTTAGGATTGGTCTGCGTCAAAGTTTGAATCACTGATAGAAAGTGGAGTAGTTGGACGCATCAGCCGCTCCTTTCGTCTTGGGAGTCACATCATTCCTGATGAGCTGTTTTTTCGACGATATCTCAATACGCAATCAGAAAGCTCGACTGGCTTTTGCCGAATTGCGTCACTTGTGGCGTAGGTGAGATATCCGTCTACCAACCAGAAGACGAGTTTACTGTGCAGCAGGTCTCTCTGTCCTACTTTATGAATGTGAAAAGTGGCCATTAAGAATAGAGGATATTTGAAAGCTTCTAGTATTCAAAGGATTGGTCGTATATTTTCGGACCACCGAGTAATCAGTGTTTGAGTTAAGGATAGGGTACTGGATAAAGATAAGAACTCAGTTGATGAGGTAGCAAGTTTCCACCAGCTGATGTTGTTGGAACATGTGTTTTGTCTGTTCAACCACCACCTAACTCGATGGGAAATATTGCCTGATGCAGGAATAGGCTGGAAGAAAGTTATGGGCGTCCAAACTAAAGCATAGCGTTAATCCATAAAGTCATTGTAGACTACCTGGTTGAGGTCTGTGTGATTACCGTAACCAATGTTTAAAGACTTTGACTGACATGTCTCAAAATGGCTTTCAATGACCCAAGTGCACCCACTCTTTGTCTTCCTTAGATCCTAAGCTTCTAAAGTTTTGATTTTTTTTCGTATTTCACCAATTTAAATCTCAAATTGTATCTTTGATGGTTAAACTTTCCTAATACCATTACTACTGTCGTTAACTCTACTTTCCTGGTATTTCGCCTGACAGTTTCATCTCTCTATGCTGATAGGATATAAGAAATCTAAACCGATGTATATACGCACTAGATTTTCCGCTGCGACCGACTCGTTAATTATCCCAATGTTTCGAAACGAAGGATTAATACTAATCGATATATCCACATACAAGTTTTGAGGCAACCTGGTTTTCTAGTGTTTTCCGTTCTGATAATTATGATGCTGATAATTTAGAAATTATGTTGGTCGAACTAACTCCTAAATTTACTACAAGAGAATTTCTACTCTTGTTTATAAAATGTACGACCAGTGATTGGTACCATCCAGATAGAATTGTGTCCAGCTGGTATTCTTAGTTTCTCTATGATTATAGCATTTGAGTTTTAATTATTAGTTCTAATTTCTGAACCTTGCTTCTCTCTTTTGGCAGCCAAGTATTGTCACCAGTCCTTCTACAAAAGTGTAACTAAAAGTTGACTGTATGAAGCTGTACTTGGTTAGAGTTGTCTTGGAATTTGTCGCATTGTCTTTTTACCTAGGCTACCAACGCTTTTTGTCTCTTTACATGACGTTATCAACAACTCTGACTATATATCATTTTCGTTTAGATATGCCGCCTGTCTTTTCAAAATAATGCATCTGATGCGATATCACAATTTCGAAGACATATTAATTTTTTTGCTAATCTCGTCGGATTACCACAGTTAGCTTTTGAGCATGAAGCATGGATGTCAAAGCAGTAAGTGATATGTTGCATTATTTTATTTCCGTGTTGCATAGAATGTGAAGTAGTTATCATTTACTGAAAGGAGTGATATTCATTTTTGTTCCATACATAGTTCAATAGTTTATCTCTATTAATACGTCTTGTAAATTTCTTAGGTTTGAAATTCTTGGAGATCTTTTCCAAGAAGCTATCAAATCTAGTCTCACTCCCCTTATAACCCAACATCCTGGATTATATTACCAAGAAGCATCTAGACATGCTGTTTGCCGTCGTCAGTTATGTCAAGCTTTATGCATCCCTACTGTTAAAGCTGCTGAAATGAATGCAGATGACAGATTATACTATCCTTTGCCAACAGAATCTAATGAACCCACTGTTGGAATTGACGCCGCTTTCGCTACAGACAGCGGTCTATTTGCCGAAGAAAGTGAATCTTCACCTCATTTACCAAATCATTCTTTAGAATGTTCCAGATCAAAACGTACAGCAATCAACACCGCTGTAGAGTTCGTTCGAGCTCAGTCACCTCTTTTGTTTAAAAAACAAACTTTTACAGCGGACAGTCCAAACTTATCAGGCTATCATTCACCCAGTCAGGTACCTGCAGCAGATTGTTTGTCAGCTACAGAGAAAATAAACGGTCTTGAATTTTACGGTCAGCGACCTTGGCGCCAAGGTATTCAAAGTATTGAACCACCAAATCCAACAAAAGAACGAGAAGGGGTCTTAAGTTTGCAAAAAGAAGAACTCAAAGTAGATCATTCTGTAAGTTTTGTTATTTGTAGTATGTTTTCAGTCAACCCACTTAATTAGTCCTATATTATGTTTGGAGATGTCTTCAGGTGTCGCCCCACAGTTAGCAAAGTGTGAATGTGTTTGGCTTTTAAACCTTTTTCTTATGACATTTATGCGAACACAAATGGGAACCAAAGTGAATATGCCCTACACAAATAATAAAGTTTCTGAAGAAATAGAAGAGTGGATCTGATCGAAAATAAGTAAATGAAGCCAGTTAGAATATCACACTCGATTTCAGAAAAGCTAATTCAGTGAGTTGAGGTCGTTTATATATGACAGAATTTCCACGACTGATGAGCTGCTGTGTGGAAAATAAAGCGAACACAGAATGAATATAAATACGGATCGAAGAAAGAAGCATAAAATGAATTTCTTTGTAACTAAGTCATCGCAAATACCGTTTGCATATATACCAAGACGACCAAAAAAGTTTTCTCGTAATTAATCATTTTCATAATTGTGTGTGGGTTAGGATACCATGGCCTTCAGATCGAAGCGATTAGTTTTCTTAGGGGACTACTCCTCGAGCATCTAACTTAAAGGTCTAGTCCAGATAGTAGTAAAGAAACGTCTGGGAAAGCAATCCCATGCTAACCAATGACCAAGAATATGTTCACACTCTAATCGACCCTTCAGGATCCTGCAGATCATGTGCACCATCGATTTGATATCAGGGCTTTTCAACCCCTGTAAGTGGATCATCTGTAGTCAATAACCCCAAATAACCTGGTAAGGCCGAAAGTGGGGAGAGTTCTCTCTCTCGAAATAATCTCACATGGCCACGCGTATATAGCCTCTGCCAGGGAAGTCCTACTCACTGCCTTCTCGTGGTGGGGGTGATGTTTACGAAATTCAGAGGACGAAAAGCGAATGTCTGGCGCTTTAACCTGGTTGGTGGACATGGAGAGTCCACACAGGGGAGTTGGAAAACCCTGATTCTAAATCAATGGTGCACGTGAGCTACAGTATCCTTAAGGAACAAATGGCATATGAACCAGTCGTTGGTCACCGGCTACCATGGGACTGCATCTCCTTGGGTTGCTCCATTGCCTTACGGATAAGAACTTTACGTCAAAGGAATTGCGACTCTCGAAGCGCTACAAATCACAAGATCCAAATGACTTAATTCCAGCCTTTCTCAAAAAATGTCGCGACTTTCTGGTTAACGAGTTGACTGAATTATTTACAAAGGTCTGGTAATTAGAGAGTGTTCCAACATGAAATGAGTCGATGGATTCACGTCGTTTCTGCAACAACTTTCAGAGGATAAGTCCACTTCCGATTACGTCCAACATATTAACTTTCGTCATACTTCGTAGACTGTTCAAAACACGAGAAGGATTGACTCGAGAGGAGAATGCTGGTTTCCATTGTGGTCGAGGATGTACTGATCATGTATTCACCCTCCGCCAAATATTAGAACACCGTCATAATTATCCCAGGCCAACAATCGTAGTGTTTCATGACATTAGGACCACCTTCGATTCGTTGGACAAGACTCTCCTCTGGGACTGTCTATTGAAGAAAGGTGTATCTGAGATGTTTATTAACATCTTGAAGGCACTATATACTAACACCTCGGACAGAGTGAGCTCATACAACAATCTCTCTCCATTGTTCTATCCAAGTAGTTTGTTTAGGCAGGGTCGCTCAATCTCACCATTCCTCTTCAACTTTCACATCATGACGTTCCGAAAACAACTCTGATGGATGTAGGTAATGGTGGTGTGGATCTGTTGCTTGAAGAAAGACTTCTCGACCTTGCGTATGTGAATGGTATTGTGTTACTGTTCGATGACACCCAAACCATACAATCCGCACTTAATCGGTTGGCAGTCAATGACCGTAGGTACAGCTTGTGCTTTGCACCTTCCAAGTGCAGAGTACTTTTATAAGACTAATAGGACCCTGAGCATGCACTCACCCTAGATGGTGAGCAGATAGAAGTGGTTACGAAGTCCGTATACCTGGGTAGCTGAGTAAGTTCTGGTGGTGGTGTGAGTGATGAGATCAATCCACGTATAGTGGAGGCCAGAGCGGCTTATGGCAATCTGGGTCTTCTTTGACGCCTTTGTGATATTAGTCTGGTTGTAAAATGTCGGATCTACGACGTGTCGATGAGAGCAGTTTTGCTGCATGCTTGTGAAACCTGACCTCTCCGAGTTGGCTCAGAATAGAAGCTAGTGGTGATTCTGCTTTCACTTTCTTCACAAAAGTGAATGTAACTTCTTTAACTTGAAGAATTCCTTCTGCTTTTCCAATTATTATTATCATTGTTCCACTCTCATACACTGATTTCTGTTCATCGTCGTTCTCCTTTTATTACACGCACTTTACATTCTCTATCTCTTCACGACCTCATTGTTATTGTGTAGTGCATATGTATTTGGTGTCCCCTTGTACTAATGTTTATGTGTTCAGATAAACAAATGAGTGAGTAAACGAACAATTTTTAGTTCACTATCATGTAATGATCTTCTACATGAAATCATGCTGTTGAAATTGCTTTACGCGAACCCCAACATGTAGATCCTATTAATCATCTTGTGAATAAGTTTTAAATATATTTCGTTATTTGTTGGTGTCTTTTTTCCTACTTCACAAGCTACATGGCCTCATATTCTGTTAGCATTAAAAGTGTATTATTTTTGTGGTAATAAATCATACTCTATTCATCAAATATTTGTTAATGAGGCCAAGGTATATTTTGTTTTTTACCGAAGTTATTTTCTCTACAATTTTAATCACTGTTAGTCAAAATCTTTCAACGTTATCAGTACTTTTGAAATTTCAGAGTTTTATTATACCATTGCTTGAACAAACTCGATTACAATACAAACGATATAAAGCTGAACGAATGAAACTATATCCGTGTGAGTGAATAGTTTAAGTGCTTCTATTGTTTTTTATTGCCATTATTGAGTATCCAACCGTAGATTTTATCACTTTTCTTTTATTCACGCTTAACACGAAGAAACTTACGATAATAAATTGCTACATTTTAATATTTTTGAGATAAGTATTTGAGTAATTTATTAGGTTTTACTGGTTTTCAAGATCTATGGGTTCGATGTTTCTGTGCCTCTGCAATCATTTTTTTGTTTTTTGATGTGTAATTTGACAGTTTGTGGTATTTCTTGTGTTACGAAACAATGATGAATCATAGGTGCATATACCATGTTCATTAAGATATGACAAACCCTGTTTCCGGAAAAGTACCACATCCACAACTCATTACTTACATTATTTAATTCATAGATTAGATTCATTCGACTTTGTGCTCCTAACGTGTCATCAATTAATGTATACATGTAGTAACAGTATTCCATTTTGTTAGCTCCAAGGCTGTATTTGTGAACTTTGTCTACTTGGTTTAATCAAGTTTCTATATATGCATCTGTGCTTAATTTTCAGCATTCATGAATTTCAATTTTAGTTATACAATCATTGTCTTTTCTCGTCATTATTTCCTAGAATGTTTCACTTAATAGAATTGTATACGAATTTTAGTTCTATTTGTGATTATGTAACCATATTTGTTTAATAGCACTATACAAATCTTTGATCAGCTTTGTCAGTTTATCTTGTCAATTCTCAGTCACCTTTTTTACTCATTTTTATTTCAGGTATTTTAATGGGTTCCGAATATTATGATAAACAGGATTATGATAAGGCTCTCAGGTGAACATCAAAATAAATAATTAACCACTTCTTTTTTAGTTGCTATTTAAGCGTAATCAATGAATATCGTAGCGAGAAATGGTGGTCTCTCTATACTTTCACACTGAAGCGAATTGCAACGTAAGTGTTATAAAGGCTTATTAAATTCCTTTATCAATTAGATTAGTAACTGGTTTTAATTTACTAATCGTTAACGTTTAATTTGTGCAAATGATTAGAACATTACGCTTACAACCACATATAAACTGATTCGTTATTCTGTTAGGTAAATGGGAATGTTTCTCTTTGAAGTTTTTTCGGAAATTTTGAATAGACTTTATATGACAGTTATCTACAATGAAAATTAAGTCAGCTGTACTTCGTAAACCTAATATTGTGGCGAAATTCGCAGTCATGATTCATTTAATTGGATTGTATATTTCACTAAATATTCACTTAAATATCTTTCCAAAAATCGTAACGTCTTACTATTTTATTCAGTAGATAAATAAAACTGTTCCCTTTTTTAGATGCGCATATTTGATAGCTCAGCCCACAGTTTTTCTATCCTCATGTTTGGAACTTCTTGGACCCAGTAAGTTTTCTCCTGCATCATATGTAGTGCACATTAACTTCATCATATACAATGTTTTGTATTTTAATTTCATCTGATTACTTTCTGTCTTTTTTTAGCAGTTCAGGTTATTAATATGAAATTTGAAGAGATCTAAAATAATGATTTAAGCAGATAAACTTGAATTCGTTTTTTTAATTACGTTTTTGTCAGTCGTTTACAATTTGTAATATTTTAAGATCAGAAATTTAAATAAAGTTGAACTTACTTATCGAAGTCAATTCGGTTAGATTTTAGTACGAAAACATATCAACATAATGAAGTAAACATACATAAAAAATTCGAAAAGGTTGATTAAGTGATCGCAAACATATGTGATTCCTAGAACATCAGTTAAGTTTATACCAAAAGATCATCAGTTAGTAATTAAGTGTTTATATGATGAATTAATGAAAACAGGTTAACAATAAGATTATAAATTCAAAAAAATATAATATGATGCTTCTAAACAAATTAGGTTTGAGAAAACGATCTTATAAAATAATGACCAACTTACTGGGGCAAAGAATACTACTAAACTTCTTTTTTGAACAAACAAATTAAGTTTCAAGCGTTTAGTAGCTCCGGTGAATTTTAAAATGTTAGAGCTTGTTTATTTATTAAATACTGAAAAGTTTTAATTTTTTTCGTGTCACTGTGATGCCTATAGCTCACACCATTAAAAACTTTTATTCCTTTAAGTGGAAAATGTTTTACGATATGTTCGTAAAATTTAAGACAAAACTTTCTGTCTTATTAGCTTGATTACTTTGAGAGATACACTTAGATCTGAACAAACATAACAAAAGTACTTATAGATCTTCGGTTATTCCGTACCAAATAACTGACATTATTGCCGTAAATAAATTCATCATTTGAACCTGATGTGATAAGGGTTTAACACAGAATTAATCATTACCTTATATTATCTTTAATAATTTTGGTTATTTATCTGAAAATAGTTCAGGCTAGATTGTTTGGCAAGACGTCGGAATAGTTTAAACTGGTTTACTATTATCATTCCAAATGTAATTTGTAATGCCCTGGTACGGTCGACGGTGGGGAGAGTCATCTCTCTCTCTTTTGAAGTGCTCTCACATGGCCACGCCCACGGAAGTCCTACCTTCTTGCGGTGGATTGTTGTTTACCAAATTTAGAGGACGGAAAGCGAATATCCAGCGCATTAACCGGGTTAGTGGACACGGGGGATCCACACAGGGGAGTTGGAAAACCTTGATTCCAAACCTATGGTACACATGGGCTACATGATCCAGAAGGAACAAATGGCCTATAAACCTGTTGTTGGTCACCGCCTACCATGGGACTGCATCTCCTTGAGTTGCTCCACTGTTTTGTGGATCAGACCCTTAGGTAGAAGGCTCTGGGTGTGGTCCCTTAAGAAAATCACCTGCCCTGCTCTGGACACCCGTCAGTATCACAGCCCACGCATAAATCATGTGACTTGTGTGGCACATATGTATTCGGTGCCATATTTTACTAATATTTATGTGTTCATACAAATAAAGAATTTCTACCAAACTGTTCGTTTGAATTCGGATTAACGTTCATATAAATTTTATTGTTTGCAGTATCTGAGTTATTTGGTACATACACGGACCTCCGTTTTATGTAATCTCATTTCATCATTAATGGATAGGACATGCTTTTAATTTTTCCGTTTACCTAACTTGTTTTCACGAAATTAGTTGGTTTTGCTTTTCAATTCTTATGTCGTTATTATTACTTTTGAGCGTTTTTTTTAACTTTTCCTTTGTTTTTCATTGACGTTCTAGATAGCTTGTTGCCTCTCTGTGAGAAAGTACAAGTTCAACAAGCAATTTTTGATTTCCTTAAGGTAATTTATCAATTGTTCTGTGTATATAGTTGTTGCGAACAGCGAATTCTTGATGAACGTGTATGGTTAGCTTCTGTGTTGTAAGTAAACAGAATAAGATGTGTTATATTTCATCGGTTTGATATTTTTGTATTATGTATAAAGTAAGAATAATAATACCTGGAAACACATCAATCAATTATGAACGTTCGGGTTCAAGCCTAATAAATATTAATAATACGTAAACAATGAGGCTGTAGAATAATTTAATTATTTTTATATATCGCTGACTTACTCCATGGAGCAACTTAATTGTTAGTCTAATCTTAATAGAAAGTTCTTGGAGTTCTATTCAAGACAATTGATATAAACATATTTACTGTTTGTTTCGTTTTCCAACAGTAACGATTTTTCTGTTTGGATATGTTTAAAAAAGGGCTTCATCTTACTGTCTCGAATTCACTTTTAGTTCCTAATATGCTAAATATATTTTTTCTTATTTTAGACCGGAGTTCCTAATCTCATAATGTTTTCACCTGAGCTTGATCATACCATAAAAACTATCGAAGATGGGTGGAAGAAACAGTTAGACTTATTAATACAACATACTTCGAATGCTCATTCGGACGTTGCACACAATGAATCGGTCAATGAGAACAAAGTGGATATCGAGAAAAAACCACAAAATTCAACCGATTCACATTTTGATGAAAAGTATAGAATTTCACTGGACATTACTCGAGTTAATACATGTAGTAAGTGTGTAAATAAAGGGATAATCTATATAAAATAACAAATAAACTAACGGATAATTTCGCTTTCATCTAATGTCATATAGAACATTGGCTTATTCGTTAAAGCATTAAATCTTCAGACAGAAACGAACCCCGCTCCATCTATTTTGATTTTGCCATTTAGTTGGAATTATTAATCGTCCCACACATTCAGAATATGTCTCAAAACAGAGTACATAATCTAATTAAAATAGAAGAAAAATACTTAACGAATAGTTGTTTTAAAACGTATTTTTCATGTTTACTACTCAATGTAGCCCAACAGATACATAGTCACGTCCATTCGCTCCCAAGTTTAGTATGTTTGGTCCCAATAATTTAGATCTTGTGAACTTTTCTATGATAATTCGTTCTTGTATTGGTTGTTCAAATCTTTTCATTGATGTTTAGGACTGCAATTGATCAGTCTCTTATTAACATATAAGCATCCTGTGCAGATTGCCTTGATATTGCCTCAAGTATAAGCATTATAAGCAGAGTTGAAGCGAACGGTACTGGGCTCGAGTCCCAGATTAAACACCAACTCTGGGTTGCAGGTTTATCCAGCTGATGAGTCCCAAATAGGGCGACATGCACGTCCTAGTTTCCACTGCTAGCCAGCATCATCTTTTTATGATAACTTATAAATTTACATTTAATCTTCCCAAACACTGCCATCTGAAGTCCATTTATTAAACGTACTGTTGTTAAATCATATCATAGAAATCATTCCTATTCTATTGATCTTATCATTATTTTTCTATTTCAGTACAATGCAAAGCTTGCTTTTCACAACCAGCATATACTTTTGGTCAACCAGTTCAATTGGCTGTTTTCTTACGGTATTCTATTATTAATCTCGTTTTTTATATTAATTAATTGGCATTCTGTCTTTTTAACTGTTTTTTAATTAATTTCGAATAAATTGAGCATTGGGTTGATTGTTATAAATAAAAATAATATATTTGTAATATCCCAATGAGTAGAAAATTAGATTTTCTGACGTTTCGTGACTTAGTGTAAGCCACTTCTTCAGAGAATAAATAACCAAATTAGAATTAGTCCAAGTTTAAATAGTACAACGAAACAATGCAAGAATAATATTGGATCAATCAAAAACAGGTCTGAACAAGTTGATGTCATGTCATTTCTGTCAAGGTGATTCATAAGTGATGTGTATATAAATTTGTGTGTGTATGTATGTGTGCATTGTTTAAGAATGAAAACTTGTGTGACCTTTATGGTAAGAAAGGATAGAGTTTAAATTTGTAATATAATAGTGTGAAATTTTAAATACGATCAGACTGAATGGTTAGGATAGATGGTCTAAGTAGGATGTATGGTAAGGCCTTCTTTTCTATTGAGAGAAGTAGGATTAAGCATTATGTGGAACGCCTCAGCTACCCTCCTTTCTTTGTAGTTGGAAAAGCCTTTTTGCAATATTTTGATATTTTTAAAATGGATTTCGTGGTTGTTAAAAATGGCATGAACTGCTATTGCCGATTTAATTTGAAGTTGGTTCAATTCTACAGGATTGTTAGGAGGTTTCTTTGTGTACCTAATATGTTCTTTGGCTCTAGTCAAGATTTCGCGGGATGACTCTCCAATATAATAGGCATCACAATCGATACAACCTAATTTGTAGACGCAGTTCTGTGTGGACATGAAAGGAATTTTTTCTTTCAGATGAACTAAAGTATTACGTAGTGTGTTCGTTGTTTTGTAACATACTTTAATTCTGTGATGTTTTAAGATTCTTTGAATTTCTTCTGTTGTGCCGTGACGGTATGGTAGAACTGCAGTACCAATCCATGGCATTTCATTCGAATCATTATTATAACGTAATAAACTGTTTTGTTTTAATATGCTTCTAATAATCTTCTTAGGAAAATTATTAAATTGTAAGATGCTGATTACATTCATTTGTTCTTTTTGTTTGTCTTCCTCTGATGTGATGATCTTGTTAGCTCTTCTAAAAAGATTTAAGGCTAGCGAGATCTTAGCACTGAAAGGATGTGCTGAATGGAAGTCAATATAACGATTTGAGTGCGTCGGTTTTCGGTAAATGGATAGGTTTAGACATCCATTCGGATTTCTTTTTACTAAGCAATCCAAGAATGGTAGCTCACCATGTACATTTTCATTGGTGAATTTGATGTGCGATGAAAGTGTATTTATTCGTTTTGAAAAAGATCTTAGATGAGTCTTTCTTATAACAACAAATGTATCGTCTACATATCTAAGCCAAATTCGTGGTATAATGTTGTGGGCGAAGATATTTGATTCTATGTATGCCATAAAAAGGTTGGCTACAATCAGGGACACGGGGGATCCCATTGCTACACCGTTAGTTTGTTTAAATAACATACCGTTAAAAGTAAATAGTGTTTCCTTTGTTTTAGCCTTCCGCATCTGATTACTTTTGATCCTGTTTTGTATTCATTTTGGTTCTTTCTTTATTTTCATTTCTAGGTCCTTTGCTCCTTTACCCATCCTTGTTCACCATGTCACTGTGACTTTTTCTAACAAGGTAATCTAAGTAGACTTATCGTCATATCACCTGATCATTTTACCGTGTCCTTTTGGTAATCCTAAACTATATATTATTTTAGTAATTTGCATACAGCAAACTAGTGAATTATTCAATCAAATGCTTTATGCAATTAGTTTAATTAAAACTAGTTATCAATACACAAACCAATGTTAGTTAGCGAACCAATAAAAAGTCAGGTACTATTTGCCAGCTTACTTATTCTGATTTGAAATGTTTTAGCAATGTACATACCTGACCATACATACAAGATTTATTTACTTGAACACATAAACATTAGTACAAGGGGGCACCAAATACATATGCACCACACAATAACAATGAGGTCGTGAAGAGATAGAGAATGTAAAGTGCGTGTAATAAAAGGAGAACGACGATGAACAGAAATCAGTGTATGAGAGTGGAACAATGATAATAATAATTGGAAAAGCAGAAGGAATTCTTCAAGTTAAAGAAGTTACATTCACTTTTGTGAAGAAAGTGAAAGCAGAATCACCACTAGCTTCTATTCTGAGCCAACTCGGAGAGGTCAGGTTTCACAAGCATGCAGCAAAACTGCTCTCATCGACACGTCGTAGATCCGACATTTTACAACCAGACTAATATCACAAAGGCGTCAAAGAAGACCCAGATTGCCATAAGCCGCTCTGGCCTCCACTATACGTGGATTGATCTCATCACTCACACCACCACCAGAACTTACTCAGCTACCCAGGTATACGGACTTCGTAACCACTTCTATCTGCTCACCATCTAGGGTGAGTGCATGCTCAGGGTCCTATTAGTCTTATAAAAGTACTCTGCACTTGGAAGGTGCAAAGCACAAGCTGTACCTACGGTCATTGACTGCCAACCGATTAAGTGCGGATTGTATGGTTTGGGTGTCATCGAACAGTAACACAATACCATTCACATACGCAAGGTCGAGAAGTCTTTCTTCAAGCAACAGATCCACACCACCATTACCTACATCCATCAGAGTTGTTTTCGGAACGTCATGATGTGAAAGTTGAAGAGGAATGGTGAGATTGAGCGACCCTGCCTAAACAAACTACTTGGATAGAACAATGGAGAGAGATTGTTGTATGAGCTCACTCTGTCCGAGGTGTTAGTATATAGTGCCTTCAAGATGTTAATAAACATCTCAGATACACCTTTCTTCAATAGACAGTCCCAGAGGAGAGTCTTGTCCAACGAATCGAAGGTGGTCCTAATGTCATGAAATACTACGATTGTTGGCCTGGGATAATTATGACGGTGTTCTAATATTTGGCGGAGGGTGAATACATGATCAGTACATCCTCGACCAGAATGGAAACCAGCATTCTCCTCTCGAGTCAATCCTTCTCGTGTTTTGAACAGTCTACGAAGTATTACGAAAGTTAATATGTTGGACGTAATCGGAAGTGGACTTATCCTCTGAAAGTTGTTGCAGAAACGACGTGAATCCATCGACTCATTTCATGTTGGAACACTCTCTAATTACCAGACCTTTGTAAATAATTCAGTCAGCTCGTTAACCAGAAAGTCGCGACATTTTTTGAGAAAGGCTGGAATTAAGTCATTTGGATCTTGTGATTTGTAGCGCTTCAAGAGTCGCAGTTCCTTTGACGTAAAGTTCTTATCCGTAAGGCAATGGAGCAACCCAAGGAGATGCAGTCCCATGGTAGCCGGTGACCAACGACTGGTTTATATGCCATTTGTTCCTTAAGGATACTGTAGCTCACGTGCACCATTGATTTAGAATCAGGGTTTTCCAACTCCCCTGTGTGGACTCTCCATGTCCACCAACCAGGTTAAAGCGCCAGACATTCGCTTTTCGTCCTCTGAATTTCGTAAACATCACCTCCACCACGAGAAGGCAGTGAGTAGAACTTCCTTGTTAATGGCTGTATAAGAGAGAGAGATCGGCACCTGGCATAATATTGTTCTCTTAAACAATTTTTTATCACTATATTCTATTTTGAGTTGTTGTATTTTTTTCTCATGTCAGATAATTTTACATTTATCTTGTTGTTTACTGTGAATACATCAGCAATTATTTAAATAAATGTATTTGTAGGAATCTAAATAATTTTCATTTGTTGTTGCACTTTTAATTGTGTGTGCTAGTATATATCCAAACTTACTCAGTAAAATTATCACCTAATATCATTTGCTTAAAGTCCTATAACTAGGTAAATGTGGAATGTGTTGCAAAATTTTATGATAACTTGATGACATGCAGTTCTTCTGTGTTTTTCTGAATACTCTAATTTTTAAGAGATAATCAGTTCTAACACTAGAATATTATACAGTAAACTGCATATTAGCGAGTCATTAGTTGAGTTCGAATTATGTTCTTTTGTTAATCCTGTCAAAAATTATTTAACTTTTATCTCGATTCTAGTGATACCGAAACTTTTTTTATCTATTACAATTAATACTATTAGGTCGAGTGTCCATCTTCTTCACTTAATACACCACCGAGTACAATAAACAAACCTTTAATAGGAAATTTTTCAACTCATCAGACATCGCAAACATGGTCATCCAAGTTTATTCTGGATTCAAAAGAAAAATTCAAAGTGATTCTGTTATGCCTTAATCCAGACGTACTAGGTAACCAAATTAAAGTAAGCTAGTATGTACATACCACTTATTTTGTTAGGAATTTTGTATTAGAAACATTAAAAACTTGTATCTCATATTTCGAACTTTTCATCCTTTTGATACTTACTCGACTCAATATAATGTATTCTCAAGCTAAAATCAGACGTATGTGCAATTAGTATGTTGAAACTGGTTACTTAGCTACATCTGAAGAAACGTTTGACTTTCCTATCTTTGTGTCCACGAATATCGACTGTACACCGAATACTACAGCAGTTTATTAGTTATAAATTACTCTTAATACGTTTTGAACTGCAAGAAAAAAACGCCGTACCCTATTAATTGATAGAGTAACGACTACAACTACGACAGTTTAAGCAACTTAATTGAAACGTTATATACAAAAATGGAGAAGTTAATTACATTTCCTTAATTATTAGCAGCTCTATCCAAAATGTAATAGTTGGGAAGTACATCAGAAGTTACTATACATGGGTTGGTACAAACATTTTTATGATTTCCTTGATTAATTGCCATTTTTTAATCCCGTCAATAAACTGCTGTTCCCACATCTCAAGGAAAGAAAGCTATAAAAAGTATTTCAACCTTTCTTTTTAACGGATTCCCAGTTTATGGTTCTGTAAATTAAGAAACATTTCTGTTTGACAACCAGTTCTGTTCTTTATTTTTAATAGCGCTGCTCTGTAGAAAAACTACAACTGTATACTTTAGTTTTAATTTTTCATACAGAGAGAAAATTGCCTTACTAATGATACTAATGTTGTAAGTAATTGACTATCTTTAAGTAATATTTTGTTTTTACCGAGATATAATTTTCAATTAGATTGATGCAACAAATTGCATGTTACTGTGTGATTTTAAAGAGAACGTACATGAGATCTTAAAACTTTTGAATCTCTATGTCTTTTATAGTGATTACATTTTAAAAAATAGAGCCATGTTACAATAAAGGAACAAATACATTTATTCCTGATTTCCATTTGTATCGATTGTTTACTCCGTAAAATGTGATTGACTTTTAATAAGCTCTCTCTTTTTCACTAGGTTGATTCAATTCATTTGTGTTTATCACCTCCTATGGTTAATTGTCATGAAGATATTATTAATGAATTAATATTGTGTACAGTTTCATGGCAATGGAATACAAAATCAGATTATCATCCTTACGTAAGTGGTCGTAAAACTATTGGTCATAAACATCATAATCTAAAGAAACAGCATGATGTGTTACATGATAATGTGAATACCATTAGTAATAATAATTGTGGTTTATGGTGCAAGGAGGTTGTTCTTTCAGTGCCAGAACGTCGAATGCAGAAAAACCCTATTAAAATTGAATCCAATGGATTCATAATTAATCATGGATTTCCTAACCTTCCACCAGACTGGGATATTATCGACAGTCGAATTCGAACAGAGTAAGTTTTACGTGCTCCTAATTAATTACTTAACGCATAATTGATAAATTCACATCATGGAATAGTTAAGTTATATTATAAGAAATCGACCTTGTCACAAAATACTAGCAATTTTATTTACTATCTAGATAACCATTTATTCGATTCTAATAGTTGCTTTGAAATGTACCTTCAAATAAAGTTTCGTTTTCTTCTAGTCGATGTTTAAATGTGTCTTGTTTACGATTCATGCGCAACTGGCACTAATATATAATGACAAAGTCTGTGAGTTTTATCATTCAAGAAATACCCAGTTTTGATGTGAAGTTGGTTGTAAAACATTCAGTTTATACTGATCTGATCTACTAATAACACTTGCCTCTCCATCATTGAATTATTTTGTTTAATTGAACTTCATTTGTGGAATTTATGCTTTAGAATTAATTGGATTTTTCGAATTCGAGATTTTGAGCGGTTACACATTAGCTCATAATTCTTGGCTTTAAAACGTCTGTTTTATTTGGTTGTGTCAGTCATCATTAACATCAATGTATATCAGTCTAAGTCTGTACATCTCTCAGCACAATAAAAAAGGAAGCCCTAACGCTAATTAACGGATCGGAATTCCTATCAACCCAAATATGAGAAATAATGGAGTAAATAAGATCGTAGAACTAAAATCACAGAAGGACATTAAACTCGAAATGTTAAGAGAAATGGGGAATAATACATTTCCAACGCCGTGAATAATTATGGGGCATTTTACCCAACGTCTCCAATTTTCATTTATTTGATTAATGCACATAAATTGCGATACAGCCAAATACCGAAAATAGACTCCCACACAAAGTACGGCAATAAAATTGTTAAGAAAAAACAAAACGGAGAAATGGGGAGTATAGTCAAAGAGTAATGATAAATTAAGCAAAGTAAATGAACGAAATTCTTATCAGCTAACAGTATAACTGAGAAAGATTTTTTTCCATTAAAGAAGCTCACCTAACTTTCACGAGGAATTTGACAGAGTCCTACGTCAGGATCATCATCGGCTTCGATTTTGACCCACAACTGATGCCTAAAACCACTGAATTTCACTATCGCACCCCAACCAGCGAGTTGTGATAAACCGACAGATCCCATTCTTATACGGTTTTCTCTCATAACTCAGTCGTGTATTACAAACTGACCACCTCTCCGCTTCTTCTAACCATTCCGAAAGTCGATAAATTCGCTGGGACGACATTCTTAGCTCATATCCAAGCCATCAAAGCCGGTGTTTCAAGACAATCGCACTAATTAAGTTATCGTTGCTAAACCTGGACATTGCTAACGTGACATTACTACTGGACGTCAACAGTTCTTCACAGACGACGTTGATTGAATACAGTCACCAAATGTCTTCAACTCAGAGGCCTGCTCCCCTAGCATAAAACTAACTTGGTCTCACCAAGATGTAAATACAACGTTTTACAGTCAGACTAATATCATTTGCGATCGACGAACGACCTTCAATACGAAGCTAAAATTCATCAACAGCTAGTAACCTTATGTCTTAATTCACTTTGAAATGATTTGGATTTTCCCATTGTTGAATTTTGGACTGAAATTTAATCAGTCTTGGTTGACATATGTGCATTGCTTTGATATACTCATTATGACAAGTTAATATAAAATAAATGATATGTGGCCGGCAGTGGATAACGCGGTGGCCTTCCAAGCGAACGTCAACTCAGAGATGCAGGTACGTCCAGCCGATGAGTCCTGAATAGGACGAAAAATGCATCTTCGATCCCACTACCAGTCATATCTCATGTATTCTACAACAACTTTATGATTGGCTATTATATCGTTGTCTTCCCGCTTCTAACTTTCTTCTAACCTATTTCTATACTAGTCAGTATTGGATGTCGAGGTAGGTGAGTGATTAGACTGGCATAGTGTTCCAACCGTCTCTGTCGACGAAGGTTTATAACTTTATCAATTGACTAATATATTTCACCCAAAGCCCTACGTCTTACTCCAACAACTTCCACTTTCACAATAAATGAGCAGTACTTCGAATACACCTATAGTTAAATAATTTCAAGTGACACTTGTTTTATACTTGTACAAGTCATGTTTCTTAGCCGTACAGCAATATAGAATGGACGTCTGCTTACTGTAATCGCCGCTTGATATACAGACGAACATATTTCCTTCATGATTGTTTATTTGTTCAACAACTAAGGAGTATCAACTCTAGTAGGTGTATGCTGTATGCCAACAGACATCGGATGTAGTTGGCTCAGCAGGTCGCTAGAGCTCAGGAGTCAGACTTGACAGATGCTGGGCAGACATCGGGTTGGATGGCTTGGTAGTTCGACATTACTACAGAGATCAGCGCGCCGGCTGACTCAACATTTTGATGGAGAGCGTGACACAAACTACGACAAAGAAGAAAGTGGTACGGCAAGCAGAACAACCACAAGAACAACTGCCAAAAGGGAAAACGAGTGTGTCGGTAGACATAAGTATTGTGTAACACGAATCAGAAGTGGAATGCCTGGCAGCAGAAGGTTGAAAAGATCGAATTGAAGAGAACGGGAATGTAAACAGAGATTTATTCTATTAGCAATGAAGGAACGATGAAGTTTGAGATAATTGATGGAAGGTTTGTAAATGAATTACTCAATATATCGTTTTTCACATTTTACGACAGAACTCTGTAATATTGCACTTAATAATAAGTTGGTCTTCCCTACCTTACTGTTTGTTCACTACAGGTACATACAATATTCTTTGTTATGTTTTCCTTTGAGCGATTACAGATTTATTGCATTATTCAGTGATTAACATTCATTGCATTTTTCACCTGTTCAAGTTGTTTACAATATTTACAATATTTAATTACGTATTATATAGGATGCATCATCCATCTTCCGGTTTAGAAATTACTATGCCAGAGAATGTTTGTATACTGGCGAATGAAATTTCTCAAATAAAGTTAACTATTCGCAATCCAACACTAAGTGACTGTACTAAACTTAAGTGAGTTTTACTTTTAAGTGTATTCAAATAACTACCTATCTTTTTACCAAATTTTTATTCAACAAATATCCATAAGCACAATTTTAGATCATTTTCATTTGTCATAAACCTATCGTATTGCCGTGGTTGATGTCTTTTCCTTATTTATGAGATTCAAACTCATTTGTATTGGTTTACTATATAATATGTTTAAAACATAAAACTAATATACCTGAACAGCAAATCGCTTGTCGATTGTTTTTTAGATTGTCAAATGAATTTTATGTGAAGAATTAATTCAAAATAATGAGTATATAGAATCGCATATTTGTCATATGGTGATTTCTTAGATTACAATTCCAGTTATTGTATACTTAATCTTACAGTTGCCGATATCCTCAGTGACCATTAATCATTATCTGTTTCTTTGTGCTTTATCGAATGCTAAAATATGTACAAATACTTAACTTTTATATCTAACCGAAATTGAATAATCTGTGCAATACATAGGTTTCTTAGACCTTTTAATGTATTCGTAGTCCTAATACACAAACGTTTAGTTTTTGAAAGGCAGTTTCTTTTCAAATGAGAAGCATTTTTGTGTTTTATACCAAGTTTTTCTAAACCCACATATGTGTTCACTAACACGTAGTTTTATAAGTCTTGGTAATCATGTTCAATCATATTTTTTATTGAACGTTTATTGTTTTGGCAGTCATAACCCAGTAATTTCTAACTGGTGATCAACCGTTTGATCACGGATTAAAAAAAACTTTTTTGCGCCATCATTCTGAACGTATATATGGTTTCATTTACATTACTAGGGCTTGATACATTACGTTAACCTATTTTAGTTTTGAATCAATTATTTTGTATTACGTTTCCGTTTCATGATTATCTTTTTCAAATTTCGTTTTGGCTCAATATCGACAAGGATGTTTTCAGTGATGTTAAATGTCTTCTATTTTATTGTACTAAAGTTTGGTAGTTACATAAGTCTTGTCACTTTTGTCTTTCATTGACTTAGTTTTATACTTCCGTCACTTAAGCTATTCTTATAAACGTATCAGTTGTTATCGAAATAAAAACATCATTATTTTGTTGTTGTTTAATAAAATTTATGTCTCTACTATTGCAGCCTTTAAAATATTCCGGAAACAGTATCCCTTATTAGGATGTTTTTGCAAATATGATTGAGTTTAGTTGTATTTGATGTGAAATTTTTCAATCTTCACGTGACTTGAAACCTCAACGTTTTTTACAGAATATCTGTAACTTAAGTTGTTTGTTTTTGTATTCGTAGTTTAACTGTCCGTTTAATTCCGAGAGAAAAAGATTCAACCGAATTTCCTGACAATGCTAGTAATACTTCTACCACTGTATCAACCACAACAATGATTACAAATCCAACTGTAATAGACAATTATATAATAGTCGGAAGTTCATCTGAATTAATATCTCATATATCAGCTAAAAATATTAATTCATCTCAAAAACCAAGTAGTGCGTATTTTACAAAGAAGTTAGACGATATCCCGTCAAATCAATCTATATCTGTGACAATTTCATTATGTTGTTCATCTCCTTCGTTAGTTTCTAATAATAATCAAACACTTTCATGTTATTTGACTTTCTCTACTAAAATTTTACCTTGTGAATATCCCGATTATTTATTATCATTATCGGATTCATTAACAACAGAAACAACATTAGTATATAATGTTATAAATGAATCTGTGAAATTATCTAATAACATGGAGCTATCGAATATAAATAATCATTTAGTTCAAAATATAATGGACCAAAATGCAATGGTAATTCAATGTACTCAGAATATTGAAACTAATATAACTATCTTGTCACCATTTGAATTAGACTATAAACTGCTTTCCTTAACAGTAAGTTTTGTTTTATTATTATTAGTATTATCACAGTTATTTTAAATTAGTTTGCAATTTACACCACACTAGAAATGATTATGCTGTACGTTTCTGCTGATTTTACTGTATATGTATCTGTTTGGTTTCGAAACGAGGTAAATCTATTGTATCTTTAAAAACGTGATCAGATTAGAACTTGATTCGATTTGGGAAATAAATAATACAACACAGAAATCCCTATTGGCATTCAGTCATAGCCACTCTCATTGATCTGAGTGTGATATGTGAGTTCTTGTAACACTATTTGACAACGAACAACTTATCTGATAAATATTATACTCTTAATCCAGTGATTCTCAATTGTTATAAGCCTGATAACAGGGTATATAAAGTAGTATTGATTCAAAATATCCATATTTCCGATTGTCATTCCGGTTTTATTGTCTAACCTATTTAATTGATGTGAACAAATATAAATCAGCAGTTTAAAATTCCCCATAGCTTATTCAGAAATGAAGAATATTTGATCGAACAATTGTTTTCAATAACTTCATTATCAGGTTCTTCAGTTATAAGTCCATAATTATTACGACATTTTACTAAGGCCAAAATAAGGCATGTATTAATAAGTTCGACAATCCTATATGTTGAAAATGGTGAACGTTTGCGTCTGTTATGACATAACTACTTCAAAATTGTGTTATTTGTAAATTAGAAACGTCCTTTAATAAAAATTATGATCATTTGTCGTAGTGTCAAGTCACAATCAGTATAATACTAATATAGCAAAAATGAAAATGCAAAAATCGTGTGAATCAAATGCATAGTAAAAGGATTTCCATTTTTCAGTATTACTATTATTACTATTATCATTATTATGTCAGTTAAATATAAATCACACAATACTTTTAGATAAAGGACTTCACTTTATTTTTCTAAGCATCTTTAAAATCATGAACACGCTCGGAATTCTTTTCTGAGCGCCAAAATTCAGAAAGTTGTTTTAGAAGCAATCAACATGAATGCTTTATTTGACAAAAGAAAAAATAAGTGGTTTAACGGATTCACTTCATTATTTATTTTTATCGATTGACTATTAACATTGACTTTATGCGGAATCGATTGATCCTTACTTCATCTCCATTTTTTTAAATTTAGATCTCGCTCGCCTCCATTGTCACCATTAAGTTTGTCCTGATAACTGGAGTAGGGGTCAACCTGATGATGCCTCATTCGGTTATTTATACGCTAATAATTTAAGTAACAATTATTAAAAACATAAATGCTATAACTATCTCCGGTGTTTGTTTTCCTATTTCATTTTTTAGCAACATCCTATTAAAAGTCTTATAGTTAACGACGAGTTTTTGTTATTGTTCAAGTTAACCAATACAGCTGATTGTGAACTGGAAATACATGATATACAGTTGGAAGTGGTAAGTTGATGTTTATATATATATATATATATATATATATATATATATATATATATATATATATATATATATGTTTGTTGGGCTCCGCGCGACTGTCGTAATCAACGGTTGGAGACTGGGTGACATGACTCAAAATCGATCACGATGACGTAGGTGTATGCTCCCTTTGTGTTCCCTTAAACCGTGAGACTAAAGTTACTGTATGCCTTTCTTTCCACGAACTAATTCGTTCTCCTCGTATTATATCCTTATGCGCAATCTTTCTTTTATGCATTACTACCATTGAAGTACCCGACCGTCGCTGCTACCTTGACGTGGTAGCCAGGTTCGCCTACCTTAATGAACCAATCGAGTTATACTGGCTGGAGCAATCATTCCTCAAGGTCAGAAGGTGAAGTCGTACTGCTGACTGTACAGAGGTGTGACGGCACTAAGGTATCTCTCTCAGACAACCAGCATAACAGGGATGGTACCTTCCCACAAAGGAATAGTGGGGTTAGAAAAGGTTGACCCTATAAATGCACACCTCGCCTTATCCCACAGTTTTCCGTCTCCGGTGGTAAGGTCCCAAAAAGTACGGAGCTAACATGAAAACTACTCACAAAAAGGTCGTGTGTGACCGACCTCAAGCAGTTGTCCCTTGGGCACTGCGGTCATGATCTCATGTCTCTAAGACCAACTCTAATCGAATTTCCTTTTCAGGTACCTCTAGAAGAACCCTTCTACGTTGCGGGCAACTGGGAAGTAATAAACACTCCCACACCTCTAACAGCGCTCAAGATTCACCTTTGAAGTAAACCCTCAAATGCCATGGTTCGGCCAATGATCAGCTCTCCCTCTCTAAATGCTCTCATATGGCCACGTGCATACAACGACTGCCACGGAAGTCTTACTCACTGCCTTCTTGCTTCTGGGATGTTTTTACGAAATTGAGAGGACGAAAAGCAAATGTCAGGCGCTTTAACGGAGTTGGTGGACACAGAGTTCACCTAGGGGAGTTGGGAAACCCTGATTCCAAACCAATGGTACACATGGGCTACAGTATCCTGAAGGAACAAATGGCGTATGAACCTATTGTTGGTCACCGGCCACCATGTTACTGCATTTCCTTGAGTTGCTCCACTGCCTTGTGGATCAGACCTTTAGGTCGAGGGCTCTGTTTTAGCTGACTGAATGATATAACGCTTGTTTTGTAATGAATGTCTCTTCATCATATGTGATGTATATTCTTCAGAAGTGAATATTTAAGCACTGTGTCATATATGAACAGATTTATATACATATTCAATGTCTTAATAATTATTTTCATGGGTCTTCCTAATACTTTTATTTACATAAATTATATTTTAGGCTAATGAGATATCGTGTGGAAGTGACTCCCATAATACATGCATCAAAAACTGTAAGTTTAAGTAACTGTCTTTGTAAATTTTTATTTTTTATCATTAACTAAACTTGATTTTCTTTATACAATTTATGATCATTATATACCAGTACGTTTATTTCTTTCATGTGTGCAGCATTTAAATTCGATACTTCATGTTTGAATGCTTGTTCAGTGATTCAGTAAATAATTTCAACACCTTTCAGTGCCATTCATTTTGCTGTATATACCTCTCATTTGTATACTTACAAGGAAAACAAATTGAATCTGTTTGTAGTGTTCGGAAAATAAAAGATAATAAAATATTTTGAAAGTATCTATCGATGAAATAGTTAAACAACAACTATTAATTATCCGATATGTTCTGATTGACAATATACTCCAACCTAATGTTATGCAACCGATGAGCACGAAACTACCTTACGTAAAACAAACCACAAAGACTTGTATCCTTTTTCGAAAGATAAAAATGACGGTTTATAAGTTTCTTTCAAATCCCCTATGTGTATTTTTAGCGATGTATAATTATCGCAGCGTTATCAAAGTTGTGTAAGTCTATGAGATGTCTATAAAAATAGCTAAAAATTGACATATCGTTTGTGTTATAGTCCAATGCCATCAATCAGAAGCAGCGATTTAGCGATCAGATCAAGGACGCGTAAAACACGTGCGAGCAGCCTAGAGTTCTGACTGTTCCTGCTTCCCACCTAGCCCAGCCAGTTAAGTCCAGAACTCCAATCTTAGCCCCTGTAATATAAATCATTATATTTCAAACATACTTAGTTTATATACCAATCAAACAGACCACAACGCAGCATAAAATAGAAAATAACATTTGTACAAAATTTGTCCAAATGTGGCTGTGAATGTGTGAGGTAGTGACTAATAGACAGGGCATAATTCAAGAATGGTAAAACGTATAATGATGGTTCATAGGTCAAAATAAAGTTTATAATAAAAGGAATATGAATATAAATAGTTTAGTTATTTAACAATTATACGATAAAAATATACGTTTAGTATTGGTCCATAAAAGGATCCCAAAGTTACTATTCATTTTGTTTATCGGGACCTAACAGTTTGTAACAATATATTTTTAGAAACTTTTATCCCGGGTTTTAGCAAAGGAATTAGGAAATTAATGATCTCATTAGTAATAATGAGTATCAGTGAAGCTGCGGTACGTAATGCGATAGTACGGAAACTGAGGAAAATACGTTTCTTCGGATTTAGTTAGTTAGTCGTCTCCCTGTTGTTTAAATCTTGAAAACCGTTTCTAACTGTATGAACACAATAGAGATATTTAAGGAATTCATTGATAAACTCAAATGAACAAAACAATCACCCACTGTTCTAACTGATTTTCTGTTTATCTGTTGACTGAATGCCACTCAATATACGTAGTAATGACATTTATTTATTCTTTCAATCATTTTATTTATAATGGATTAAATTTTCTATTAGTATAACAATTCATTAAAATCATTCTTTTTTTTTCTCATTTTAGTAATTATGCAATCCTCAGAAAGTTGTACTGAATGTCACATGTTATTATTAACAGAAACAATGAACTCACTCGAAACAATAAATCTAGGCTCTATTACTGTTCATTGGTCACGGTCAGTGTATAATATTAATATTATATATATTTCTGTTACTGTGGAAATAGAATAAGTCGACCGATAGCTGACATCTGCCAACAGCACAAAAGTAGTAAATATACACCACTTACCAAACATATGCTTAAAAAATGTAACACACTTATCATTAGTAAAGAGATGAGTAATCTATATTCTTCAGTGAATGTATAAATATTCATTATGAACTTATACATTTTAAAATCGAATAAAAGCAAACCTTGGTATTATTTGAAGTTTCGAGTAATATTCTCAGTAAAATACATAAAATGTTCTTTAATAAACCGCCTGATTTGTTAACCTTCGGTGTCTCGGTAACATTACCAAAGTAGATTATCGTTCTTCTAAATAATTTTCGAAATTCTTTCAGATTGTTCCCACATACATTTATTTAATGTTGCTAAATCAGAATTTTGAATACTCTTGTGCAGCGCACTACAAAATCAATAATCATTATGTCTTTTTTAATTTTCAGCATTCAGTTTTCTTAGTATGACAACCAAATAGTCAACATAATGTTCATTATCATACTTGCCCTCCTTAATAATACCCTTCTTATTTGCCCTGTAGAGTTTGGTTATATCAGGTTGTTTTTTACCTCCTTTTACCTAGTTGGATTAAAACTTAACACTGTCAATGTCAGTGTCCCTTTTGCTAAATAGAAGAGGATTTGTAGTTTTTTGTTTTAGGGATTAAGTCTTCAGTCCCCATAAACTAGGCCTTCATATAATTTTAGAAGCGATGCATATTTCATGTTTATTTAACAACTTATCATTCTCTGTATCTTGTTGAATATCGCTGTCAATGCTTTTGCCGTCAATGTGATGAAAAATGTATACACTACTTGTTTTCAGAATATATTTATTGTAAGCGAATTTAGAATAAATTCATTTTCGCGTATATTCATACAACTTATGTTCAGTTTTATGCAATATGTGTTGAATCATCCAGACTTAGACTAAGTGGTAAGTGAAAAAATACTTACGGACTCACGCTACTGGTTGAAAATGTTGCTTCATTTTTCGAGAGAAAAAGATATATATTTATGTTTGATTTGTAAAGGTACTCTTGATTTGGTTAGCCTTTAAAAGCTTCATACTCTTTATTTTCTCACTCAAGTATACGTTTTAGACATGCATATAGGAATCGTTTATATCAGTAGCAAACTCAGACAACCTCAGTACATACTGGTATGTTTATTAAATTGAAGTAGAATGAATGTTTCTAGATAACCCATTTATTCTCTCTCTCCCCTCTTTTTATAGTGTGTCAACACGTGATCATGATGATATGAAACCGTATATTGCAACGACAAAATTCACCTTACCGACTATTCCGGTTTTATCTTTACCTATTCAAATTAGTGCTGAACTTCCAGCTTATGGTGTTATGCTCACTCCATTTCCAATCACATTTATTTTATCTAACAAAACTATTTATCCACAGGTATTTTGAAAATTAAATTAATTTTTTTACCATGTATATAATATTCATTTAAATGTAATTTATAATAGTTATCCATCTAAAGAGAATAAATTTGCCAGTAAATCTACTTTGCCGGATGGCATACATATACAGCCAAGGCGGTAATTTAATCTACACATATTTCAACATAAATTTATTTAAAGGGACTTCGATAAACAGTGTTTTACCAACATTATTCTGGACATAACATGTCGTTTGTAATTCTAGCGTTAAATTATTTCTGTATTACTCCATTACTTACAACTGTTTTAATTCAAGCATGATTGCTCCCCCAGATGCCCTGGTATGGCCGAGAATGGGGTGGGCCCGCCCACCCTCTCGAAATGTTCTCACACGGCCACGCGTATACAGCCTCTGCCAGGGAAGTCCTACTCACTGCCTTCCCGTGGTGGGGGTGTTGTTTACAAAACTGAGAGGACGAAAAGCGAATGTCCAGCGTATGAACCAATTGTTGGTCACCGGCTACCATGGGACTGCGATCTCCTCACGATGCTCCACTGCCTTGTGGGTTAGACCTTTAGGTCAAAGGCTCGGGGTGTGACCCCCTAAGAAAACCACCTGCTTCGGTCTGGGCACCCGGGCAGTATCACAGCCCTCACACAAATCGGATGATTTATGTGGCGCATATCTATTTGGTGCCTCCTTGTGCCAATGTTTATGTGTTTAAATAAATAATAAATAAATGATTGCTGACTAGAGTTTCAGTGTAGTGTTTACTTCACTCTATTCCAAACCATCTAGTTCACAGTTTCATACTCACTCTCCTATCTCTTAAAAACAAGTTGTACACAAACGTGTTTCTGTTATGGAAGTTAGATTGGGATTTCATTATTTAATAGTGTTGTTTAATTTCTTGTGTGAAGTATTCAATGAATACGTTGAAACAAACAAAAACTGGATATAAAAGAAATTCATTTGTATCTGCTGTTTATTTTATAAAACTGAGAACAACTGTCTTTTCGATAGAATCGCCCATGACATATGAGCAACTTGATCCAACTAAAATAGTTTCGTAGTTAATACTGATGATTTTATTGTGTAAATATAGAAGTGATATCTATAGAATAATCACCCAAGATATGCCATGTTTAAACAGACTACTTATATGAAATAAGTAGTAAGAATCATAAACCAATTTTTTAAGATATTTTAAATTATATATGTGAAATATGTATACCTTTTGTCACTCATGATTAATTTTATAAAACTCCCTTGATTCGGAGTTTCAATATGAATTTTGTTACCACTTAAATATAAATGTAAAGCTGTTATCAGGTTTCATATATGTTGAGGTATTTAACACTGTATACTTGTCAACGTATGTATTTCCACTGTATACGAAACAACAGTAAATTGCTCAGTTTTAATTCTGTTTAGTTTTATCCCAACACTCAAAAATTGTAAATTTCGCCTTACATATATATAAAGACTAGATTTATTCTTACCTTGATGATGGAGCATATTTGTAGCTGAGGTTAATCACTTTTGTGAAATTTCGTTCTCTGAACTGGATGGTTTAATCGTATAGCCTTCATTTTTCTTCTTTACATCATCAGCATAAACTTCAGGTAGAAGTAAGGTACTCTCCACGTAAAAATAATAGCTCCTCCTGTCGACTTCGAAAAGTTCACTTTTCTCTGAATTTCATGCTGATGATGTTCAGTAGAACAATAGAAGCTTTTTCGTTTATTATATCTAGCCCAAAGAATAAAACTTCATCAAGATAATCTTGATGTACTGTTACTTGTGACGTTCACTTCAAAAAAGAAATTAGCAGAGTATTAATTCACTCCACTTTAAAATCATGAAGATAATTTCGTAAATGTAACCGTGTCAGTGAGTCGGACCGCCCAACTGGCTATAGATATTCCTCAATCTAATCGATGGGTTCCAAAGATATCGGGCGAAATTGTTCAACTCTTCAGTGTAATACATGAACGTACAATTAACAGCTAATTTCTTTTTCGTGAGAAGAACGAATCGAGCGAATAAATCTTCTTTCAATTAGTTTTTCATCGTGGCTCTACATTGATATACATTTTTATGATTTACAACGAAATAAGACTCATGGAGTAACTACGTTACGTAACAATTGAAAATAAATTTCTTCGCTCGATTTGTTAAAATGGGGATTTTCGCTGTAATTTCTGTTCGTTCCTTTTTCATTTTTGGGTTCCTCACTTTTTTATTCACTGAACTAGGAGGCTGTTTTTCAATTAGAATCGATTCATGGTTTTATGTTTTCTGGTCAACAAAAGCTGAAGTTACGATTACTGCCTGACTCACCGCACTACTTGAATTATACACTACTTCCATTGATGTCTGGAAATTTGAAGTTGCCTCGGTAATTTTAATTACTACTTTCCATATTGGTTGAAAATAATAATAGATTACTTTCGAAGTTTTCTATATGTACATTCATAAATATGTTCTTTATCATTGCTAAAGTGTACCAAATTATTCTATGAAACTTTGTATATTGCTTTTTTGTAATGGTGTTACATCGTAAACATTTTGGTAAGACAATTTTTTTCTTTATTGTTTATTATTTAAGAGGCGAAATATGACATTTTTCCTGTACAATATATTGTAGTTCATTTTATCTAAAACATATATGTTTATCAGTTCCTAGAATGGGAATGCACTTTTTTAAATTTTCCTATTGATCCTAATACTTCATTTACTCCGATAATATGTAGTCTATCTGATAAATACTTTCGAAATCGAATCCCTACTATTGTGTGCAGATTCCCAACATTAAATCTAAACCACAACTCTTATATCTTGTCTTACTTTGCTTCCCAGTTGCTTAAATACTGTTAAGTTTCGTCGCCGCTAAACCAACGAGCCATTGGTTAAAAGTAAGTTCATTGGGCCGTCACGTTGTATAGATTCCGTTAACTTAAGTGTTCAAAATATCTAACACTATGATCTTGTAGGTTAGTAGTCAAGGTTTCTATACACCACAATCTTTACCTGATATCATGTATTTAGATGAGACTTACCTAAAAACCATGAACCTGGGTTTTAAACTAGGTGTCGACCATCAAGAAGGCATAGTTCCAGTCTTGATGCAGCTAAAGTTCCTCGTCAATATTCAAATATGTCTCATATGTATTTCCGTGGACTAATTTGGGCTATTACTCACCTCTTGTAGGATTAAAAAATTACTCTACTTGAGCATCTGCTTGATAGTAAACAGTATCAGACTGTTTAGTCCCTGGTTCCAATCTGATTTTCCATTTTCCAATCCATGTTAACCAAGCAAGACGTCTGTCTATCCATATGATTTTATGGTAGAAGTGATCTGTTATTTTAGCTATCTGTCTGGAAAAAACTTTATGCTTCACTTCATTTTTTCATGTTCTTTCAATATGATTGTAATCGAATAGTGTTAGCTCAGGAAACAGTAAATTGTTATTCATTGTTTCACTAAATTACCAAAATATCATACCGTCATTTCGTTGTGTTCAGTGTCTATCAGGATGCGGTTATACACTAAGATAACGAGTCTTAAATAATACTTTTTTTCGGTTAGATTATTAGTGTAATACTCTGACTATAAAAATCTTTCATAGTAATAATGCCCTTCGAAAATAAGCCTATACTTCACTCGTTCGTTTATTTTAAGCCCAGTGCCTAAATTCATATGTGGTAAATAAGTTACAGGTATCACAACATCTTTGAGTTATCTACACCCGTTTAGTATTCCCTAACTAGTACAAAAAAATTTACGTATTCCTTAGTTTCGAATGAATTTCCTATCGATGCCAGTTTTTTTTACCTTGGTTTCTCACAAAATTACATTCTAAATCCTTTCTATATGTAATAGCTTATGCGTTCTTATTTGACAAAATGATGTTTATTATTGAAATTTTTTAACAGTTTACATGTTATGTTAGAACGTTATGCTACGTTAACATCAAACACGCAAAATGATCAACCCGATATACACATACAATTAGAAGAAAATCTCCTACGACAAGTTCCAACACATCTGATAGTAATTGTAGGTTGTTATTATTGTTGTCTTCATTATATACTCTTTTGTTTATTAATTTATTGTTTTCATGAACATTTTCCAATGTATTTCCACTAGTTTTCCGTAGCTGAATTTTCTCTGTGTTCTAAGGCTACATTATTTTTTAAGAAGATGAAGAAGCCACAAAAATGTGATAATCTATTCTAAAAAGCCTGTTTAATTAGATCACAGATACAAATTATTTTTTGTGAATTGTTTTGATCATTTACATCTTAAACTAATTCTTAAATAAATGCTTACCTTAATGAATTTGACTTGTACAACCGTTGGAAATTTTCTCAATTTACTCATTCTCCAGATACTTGGATATCAGCCGCACTCTAAGTTTGAGTGGTTATGTTACTAATCTGTTTGTTCGAACCAGAAACTTGGTGACAAAAAGTCAAACTCCTTAACCATCAAGCCATCTCTCTTCAGGGTATCTTTAAATACCTGTTATTTGCAGCTGACATATAGTAGTATCCAACACTGATTATATATAAATTCAAAAACAGAATATTTGAGTGAACATTTGCTTTCAACAACTTCATCACCAGACTCTACAGTTATAAGTTCACAATTATTACCAGAAGAAGTATATCCAACCTCTATGCTTGGCTTGGTCTACGACTGGATCACTACATACATAAACTAGATATTATGAACCTCTTATTCCCTCTACCAATTCCTTTTACATGTATACCTTTCCTAATCTACACGTCCGTCTTTCCCAATTCACATGGATTCATTTTTGAAGTACTTATCTTGATAATACCTTTCTTATTACTTAGTATACTCACACAACGTTACTAATATTATCATTACTATTATTACCTTGATTAACAAGATGAAATTCTCCTACTATGCATTTTATTCATACGATTTTTATTCTATTATTATATGACTATTGTACTGAATATGATTTGACACTTTACTACAAATCATTCTAACCTTTATTAAGTGATACTTATAAATAACACCATTTTTAACTAATTATTTTGTAACAGATGCAATCACTCACCATTTTTAACATATGATATTATCAAATTCATTAATGCATCCCTAATTGTGAACTTATAACTGTAGGGTTTGATGATGAAGTTGTTGAAAACAATTGTTCGCTCAAATATTCTTTGAATATATATATATATATATATATATATATATATATATATATATATTCTCTACGAAAGAAAGTTGCTTAGGAAATAAGGCTAACAAGCTCTAACATAATAGACTCATAAATTTCACGAATAAGTCATCATAATTATATTCATCCGTCAGTTTGAATTTGTCATAACAACAAGTATGGTGCAAAATGTTTGGGAAAATAATAATTAATTCCATTTAGCTATTGGATGATTTGATAATAATTGCAAGCATAACTCATGATAAATTTAATCTGTATATTTCGAATGTTTACCGTCGAACTATAATTTCGTATATTCAGAAACGAGAATAGTTGTGAACTACTGTGGCAGCCTAAAGTTAACGGTTATTTCTTTCTGATCTTAAACACTTAATTGCAAATTTAAGAATGATAACTTAAACATTTCGACACGTCCTCATGCTATATTTTATATGGCAGTTATCAAGTAACTTAAAGTATCTTTTCTCCTTGTGGATTGTGTTTACTGAATGTATTCATCCAATTTAAATCAGATCTAGCTTTATTCATCTGTGAATTATACTTGTCTCATCGTGTACATTAAACTCACAGAACACTGACAAAGCATAAACGTTTTTCACTTGAGAAATTTATAATACGTTTTGATTAAAGCGGATTAATATTTAGATAAGTTAGACTATTTAATAATTTCATATTTTGTAAAACTTAGATCAATTTAACATCTTAGTTTATAAAAGCTACTTCGTAATGCAAAATTTATTACCAACCAAATTGTTGTACACTTGAATAAATCTACAACTGTTGCTTTAATATAAAATTTACATAATACATCCCATGACGGTAGTGTTAGTATTCATTATTATTCTAGTTAGATGTTAAAAAATGGACACCATGTATTGTTTGTCTTCCATTGTGCTTTGTTCTATTATTCCTACTTCGTATTAAAATAACAGCTCGTTTTTTCTTCTCATCTATAATACTAGTTTATATCATATATAGTGTTTTGTGTTGTGAATTTGTCAATAATAATTCATATTTTGATGCCAAACATGTTAGATAATCAAACTCATTATAAATAAATAATATATTTGTAAAATCCCAATGAGTAGAAAATTAGATTTTCTGACGTTTCGTGACTTAGTGTAAGTCACTTCCAAGTTTAAACTTGGATTAATTTTAATTTGGTTATTTATTCTCTGAAGAAGTGACTTACACTAAGTCACGAAACGTCAGAAAATCTAATTTTCTACTCATTGGTATTTTACAAATATATTATTTATTTATAACAATCTACCCAATGCTCAATTTATTCGAAATTATCAAGCCAAACCTTGGTAATGATACATACAAATCAAACTCATTGTTAATGATTTTTATTGTCACTCAATCAACGTTATTTCTTTTTTATACATCCGACTATCCTAGATGTTTGTCCGTTTGTAGTTTAAATATGTTTATAGAATATCTAAATATTTTGCATATGGTTGTACGTATATATTTTATATTTATTCACAAATACTATTAACACATATTTTGTTGATTTGTTTGTATTTCTTAATATCATATTCTATTATTCTTGTTTATCTACTTTATAAAGCCATCAACGGATGGATTGTTGGAATCGTCTGAGAAAAATCCAACATTCAATCAAGAAGAGATTAAGAATATGTAACATTATATATATATCTGAAAATATTCTATCTCACTGTTGTTTCAAAAGTTTTAGTTGCCTTTTTTTTAAAAGCCTAAAGATGAGCTTGTTTCATTTGTTTGTTCTAAGTAACTTCTTATTCCTTGACTTCTTTTGTTTATTATTATAACAAAGCATAAATACCTTAATTTTTACTTTCAATAATGAATTCTCCAAAACTTTCGTCCCATCTCTTTCCCTATTTTTATTCTTTGCAAATAGAAATGCATCATTTTTGGAATGTTTTTTGTATCATAATTTCTTTACTTCCAAATAAATCAGTAAAAAATTTCAAAGTTCTACGTTTTTTTAATATCATTAGTGGATTATTTGAGATTTCGGTCGCTATTATTCAACTTTTTATTCAACACATTGCTTTAGTACTGATTTACGGTTGATAAAATATTAAAACCGATCGATATTTTATACCGTTGACGTTTTAGAATTTTACAGATCTTGTATTCTTTGAGCAAACTGATTAATTTTTGAAATCAGATATTAAAATGTCTTCACAAATGTCTATCGGCTTCTGTTGTCATGGATTTTACCAAGTTCTTCTTTGTAATTGTGTAATTGTAAGGAACTGACAACGTTGTTTACAAAGTTCTGGAAACTAGAGAGTGTTCCAACGTCATGGAATGAGTCGATAGTTGTCCCTATCTTTAAAAAGGGTTCACGTCGTTCCTGTAACAACTATCGGGGGATAAGTCTACTTCCAACTGCGTCCAAGATATTGGCTTCCGTCATACTTCGTAGGTTGTTCAAAACCCGAGAAAGATTGACCCGCGAGGAGCAGGTTGGTTTTTGTTCTGGTCGAGGATGTAGTGATCATGTATTCACCCTCTGCCAAATGTTAGAACACTGTCATACTTATCACAGGCCAACAATCGTGGTGTTTCTTGACATCAAGGTTGCCTTCGATTCGTTGGATAGGACTGTTCTCTGGGACTGTCTATTGAAGAAAGGTGTATCTGAGAAGTTTATTAACATCTTGAAGGCACTATATACTAACACCTCGGACAGAGTGAGCTCATACAACAATCTCTCTCCATTGTTCTATCAAAGTAGTGTGTTTAGGCAGGGTCGCTCAATCTCACCATTCCTCTTCAACTTTGCCATTGATGACATTCTGGAAACAACTCTGATGGATGCAAGTAATGGTGGTGTGGATCTGTTGCCTGGAGAAAGACTTCTCTGCCTTGAGTATGCGAACGATATTGTCTTACTTTGCGATAATGCCCAAGCCATGCAATCCCCACTTAATCAGTTGGCAATCAATGTCCGTAGGTACGGTATGTGCTTTGCACCTCAGTCAGTCAGTAACAACGTAGAACTTCGTACGTACGTACATCAGCTCGAGTTGCCACACCACATGAGCACAAAGATGCGGTCGTCCATTCAAATCCCATAGTGATGGAGGCGGTAAGAGTATAAGCAGTAATCGGAAAGATTAGGGTTTGAAAATGTTATTTAAAGAGTAAAATCCAGTGAAATAAATTTGGAAAGAGAAAAAAAGAGACATGGAGAATTCAAGAGATCAGAATTTGCACCTTCGAATTGCAAAGCACTTCTACAAGACTGGCAGGATTCTAATCCTGTACTCACCCTGGATGATGAGCAGATAGAAGTAGTCGAGAAGTTCGTGTATCTAGGTAGCTGTATAAGTGCTGGTGGTGGCGTGTGTGATGAGATCGATTCACGTATAATGAAAGCCAGAGCGGCTTATGCCAATCTGGGTCATCTCCATGCTCTCATTTGATTGACCGAGTCTATTTTAATGTGTCTATTGATCGATGAGTGAATAGAGTACCATATTTATAAAAAATTGTGGTTAAATTTGTGTTTTCTCTGTCCAGTATTTCGACATTTCCTCAGTTGCACTAGTGTCCATAGTTATCCACGTGCATCTGTACAAGTTGACGTATGTAATTGTGTTTAACAGATAGGTATTGCTCACCTATATCTCGTTATATAAATTATTTATTTTTCATGTAAAACTTGAACTCAAGAAATCAACAAGTAATCTTCTCAAGCTATCACATCTATAATATGTGACTAGTGTGTTTGTAGGTTACACTCTCTATTTGTATAGTTGACTTCCTCGGTCACTGTAATTGATGGAATGAGTAATTTTTGTGTGATTATTACGTTATATATCCCTGAACGGTACCATCATACCGGTCTTCGGTTTTGAGTCAAAGTATTTAAATATGATCTTGTGTCTGATAATTAGACAATAAATTTCATTAACAAGGAGAAATAAGTTCCTTTTAAGGCGTTGAGATTGGAATGGAAATGCGTCCACTCAAATTCTGCAAAACAACATGAACAAGTATCAAACCTCTTGATATGGCGTGACCATCTCAAATTATTACTCAATATGATCAAAGCTTTGTGATTTTGTAATCTTTGCTTTCACTTTTTTTGATGGTACAGTTTCATTTCAATTATTTCGTAACTTTACTCATCTATTAATTAGGAAATGTGGAGTAAGGAAATCTAGTTCCCATCTAAATTAAGTTGTCACTTGTAATCCCAAGTGTTATCGAGACTTAGGGCGCCACTCGGTTGCTAACTTGCTCTTTCAACGGTGGGTTGAATAATGGTCTCATCGTATCACTTGAATGAAGTTGAAATCGAACTCCCTTATTCCATTGTGTCGTACTCGCTGGTTATCATAAATGAACAACAACTGCTACACGAGGATGATTCAGGTGCATGTTGCTTCCTAATTTGATGAAATATACCTTCGATTTGAACTGATCTAGTCGTATCCGAGGAAGATTGAATTATTGATAACCTTCGGAAACTATAGACTGTGATTATATATTTGTGTTTCTCTTTTCATAAGCTTTCATTTGACCTATTAGCTACTATTATACGATTTACTATTCTTAATTCATTCCCAATCTACTGGTTACAGTCTCCCACACACAGTCACTTTTGGATTGAGTTTGTATACCTGTTTCCATTTTGTGGTGTGATGCGATCTGGTCTGCTTGTGTACGAACTACTTATGTCTGAAATATATGATTCATACAGTGGAGGCTGATAGTGTTCTGAACTCAACGACAGGGCTAGGCAAGAAGCGGCTATATTAAGGATCAATAAGGATTCTGAGTGCTAGTTCTTGGTTTAGCACAAGAACAAGTTCATAGAAGTCATTATTCCAATTGGCGATTTTGTCACATGATAATTGACAAGGGCAGAAAACATTCTCAAGATACTATGAAACTAAATATTTCATAATGGTTAGTAATCGAACAAGTAAAACTTTGCTCATGAAATTAATGCGTATCTCACAAAGCTTCTTATGATAAAAGATAATCATTGACTTAAATCTGTGGTGTAGAACGAATCAATAATTAAAATACATTCTTTTCTATTTCCCCTTGTATAATTACTTCCTGTAATAAGTACCGCGTTGGAAACGTTGTACCCACCTGGTTCATATTCTTAAATCTATACAGACATTAAGGTTTCAGATATTTTTCCAATTGTTGAAATTCATGATTATATCTTATATGGTCCATCAAAGGCTTTACATTGTGGTTAAATTATTAAATATCGAAAAAATATTACGAAGTGTGCATGAAGTACAAACATGGGTATCTCTTTAACAACATTTTAAAATACACTTCCCAAAGATATTTATTTACAACACGACCAGTACATATTTACTCCCGTCATGTGTTTACTAATCAGGTGTGCTGCTGTTAACATAATTCACACTGAAGATTTTAGTGCATTTATCTTAATATATATCCTGTGTTTATTGATCCATAATGATCACATGGTATCTCTAATGCCCGAAATAATAGCGAATACAATTGTAAAGGCTTAAAATGGAATTCTAGATGGTCTTACTATTTTTTGGATACTGATTTATATCAATTTGTTAAATCTTGTAAATTAAATGGATTCTATAAAAATTTGTCCCGTTTAAGTATAATTATTCATAGAAGTTAGTTGGTCTTACTGATGCCCTTTGTTATGTGTCAAAATGTTACCTATGATCCTCTGAATGATTTAATTCGTGTCGTGGTTTTACTCACTGATCGACTTGAATTCCTTTGATTAAAATAAAGCTCTGTGATCGGTATTACGTTCAATCTATACTGACTCAAATGAAAATATCGTTTACAAGTAATCCCCGCTAAGTTCGAAGTGAGCATCCTTCAGTATTTCACATATATATGTATGAATTACACTATCAAACAGTATTATAAAGTAAGAGAGAAACAAAATGACTAGCACACAACAATCTGCTCTGAGAAAAACGTATGCCATTAGACGCTGTGTGGATTAAAACTTAAGGTTCTCCTACTATATCTAGAGATATCGTGAGTGCACGCCAGCAGCCTCAGAAGCAGTAGGTCGAACATACACAAAGGGAAAGCCACGATTCTCCGATACAGCACAAGCTCACCAATCGAATCACACTTTTCGGAGAAGTTTTAGAGAATGTAAAATTCTTTACATATTTGGGCAGCATCATTGATGAACACGGTGAATCTGATGCAGATGTGAAAGTGCGGATCGGAAAAGCAAGAGCAGCATATCTATAACTGAAGAACATCTGGAACTCAAAACAATTGTCAACCAACACCAAGGTCACAATTTCCAATACAAATGTCAAGACAGTTCTACTGTATGGGGCGCAAACCTGGAGAACTACGAAAGCCATCATCCAGAAGATACAGGTGTTTATTAACAGTTGTCTACGCAAAATACTTCAGATCCGTTGACCAGACACTATCAGCAACAACAAACTGTGGGAGAGAACAAATCAGATCTCAATGGAGGAAGAAATCAGGAAGAAGTGCTGTAAGTGGATAGGACACACACTGAGGAAAGCAGCCAACTGTGTCATAAGAAAAGCCCCCACTGGGAATCCTCAATACCAGAGGAGAAGAGAAGGACCGAAAAACACATTACTCCGAGAAATGGAGACAGATATGAAAAAGATGAACAAGAATTGGATGGAATTAGACAAGAAGGTCCATGACAGATTGGGTTGGAGAATGTTGGTCGGTGGCCTATTCTCCATTGGGAGTAACAGGCGTAAGTAAAGAAAATCGTAATTGTGTGTCAGTTGACTGATGAGTAAACAGTGTACCATGTTTTTAAAAATTGTGGTTGAGTTAATGTTTTCTTTCTAATAACATCGTTTACTGACGCCATTTATTTGTATTTAGAATGAGCACAAACATTTGATCTCAATAGCATATGTAGATAGAGTAACCTATCTGAAGACACTCAATAAAGTACCTATGTTTTATGGATTCCAGAACATACTCTTTCTTTCTGTAGGCAGCCTAGTCACATCGTTCTTTCAGGTTAATGTCTCTTGTTATGTTTTCAAAAATCCGATAGTATTCATTCATAATGTGTCATTTAAATGTTAGAATCCAGCACAACTATTCTCACCAATTAATTGACTTTGATAATCCCCGTTTGACTTGAGTTTTTCTATAATATAACGAATTCACTGATAATCTAATAAGAACTAG